TATATCTTTATGGTCTAAAAATGTAATCTACAAGGGCACAGTGACCGAAAATGACTAACATAATACTTACACGAATAATAATACTAAATCATTTTCGCCTAAGTCAATTACGCATTTTTATTTCCCCCCTTTCGAAAATCATGTTTTTTTGTTTATTAGGCCATCCTGCCTCTACAGCCTCATATATTCCGAAGAGGAAACATTACAATTACCAATCATAAATTACTGAAGCACTTTTTACATACAAAACATACTTTTATTTTTATATTTCCAATATCCTGAAAATGAAAATGTAATATTTTATGGCGTTCCCATCGTCAATTAAACACAATCCACGTGGAATAGGTAGGTTATAAGTACAAAACGATAAGGCAAGTCTAAAAGGTATGAATCCAAAAAAAGCTTTTTAGCGACGATATGAATTATTCCATTTTTTAATTCCTTTTATTTTTATATATTCAAGGAAAAAAAAAACAAGCTTGAATTTTAATTGATGGTAGGGGAATACCCCAGCCATATATAAACAAAAAGATGCGATCACCAATTTTGGCTATTCGGAAATCCACAGACTGAAAGCGAAACACGATTTAAAGGCCGTATCTGTGGTGGTTTGTGACCCGGACGCAATTTCGATATCCGTACCACCCATTTAACGTTCAGATTCTGGACGAAGTCCAACATGTATTAGAAAATTGTTGGACCTGGCGGGGATCGAACTCTACGACCCGTTGATTATTAACCATACATTGCTACCGTTAAACGAGCACATCATTTGGTACTGTGGTTTTGTAGCTGTAGCCAATTGGATTTTTATTTGCAGGTGGTCGACTGCATTTACATTTCTCAATAGCTGAAGAAAGTACAAAAGATTCGTCACGAGGGGATGTCGTGCGGAAACCAGCCTTGTTCACACCGTATTGTTAAGACTTAAAGTATTTCTAAACGAAGACGAGTCTAGAATTATGTAAATATCACCTTGTGATTTATAGCATGTGGTAAATAATAGGAATACAACAAATATTGCCGTCTTCAAACAACACTGTTACACAACTGTTGACATAATTTAATTTCTGTAATGAAATTGATAATTCAACTTTTTGTAACTTTGCTAGGTTGAAATAAAATACTTTAACGGTCTAAAACGCGATATATTATTAGATAAACTTAAGCCGTGGTCACGGGAAGACTGTTGCTGCAAAGCATCCGAAACGTCGGGCCGTGGTTAAAAATAATTTTCACACAAGTGTAACTATATCGTGTTTTCAACCGTTAAAGTGTTTTATTTTAATGTGTACTACTCGTGTAAACTAAGGTTTAAATAAAACGCTATTCATGGTTTCAGTCAATGTAAGGTAATGGGAAGACGTGGGGAATGCGGCTGTTGCGCAGGATCTAAACCGTTAGACAATAGAAATAAGTTAACTAATTGCAACATTTCACATTTTAAACCGTTAAAAATGTTTTATTTAAACATAATAACTAACGCAAACATCTTAGTACTTACGCAATAATCCTTTTATAAGTCCCGATAGGTAACTCAGTGCAAACATAACAATCAAAACTGGAATAATTTACACTATTTTCAAGAAATACGTTTTAAGATGAGGCGATATTAGGCAGTTAATTCGTAAATAAAATATATTCAAAAACATTGTAGAAAAGGAAAATAAATTAAAAACAATACTATTTTGACATTTATTAGATAAACCTAACACGTCATTGTAATGTCAAGAGTTAAACAAAAATTAAAAATATAGTTTAAGTTTTTACGCCCTTTTCTAAACTGAAAATAATGTCTTCTATTTTAATATTAGCTGCGACAGCGACTTTGTCTGCGCAGAATAGTCATTTTGGGTATCAAGAATTAAGAATCGTTAGAAATTCAAGCTGTTACCCACGACGTCGGTCGCGTCCCGTCGTTCTTGCAAGTTAATTTTAAAAGATAGACATGTAGTGTCGCGGATATTTTTTTTAGATCATTTAAGAGAAATATTTTTTTTTTTGTATCTTGATCCGTTTTCGCAGCGGAATCGGAAACTTTCCCCGTTCTTTCCACATTTCCCGCTTATTCTTCGCTCCTAACAGTCACAGCGCAATGTTTTATAGCCTAAACTCTTCCTCGAAAAAAATTTAAATTAAACTAACTAGCTAACAATACACAGTATTTTAAGAATATGGAATCGAAATATTAGTTCATGGGATAAGCACGTTCAAACAAACAAACATACTCTTCAGCTTTATATATATTAGTATAGATAAGTTTATGATATACACTTATTACAATAAGTAAAGCTTGTCCATTACCACCGGTAATGAAGCCAAGACATTAGAACAGCGAATTACATAATTAAAAAACCAATTAGTTTATGAGTTTAACAAAAAAGTAACTTCGTACACTTAAAAAACATATATATGTGACATATGTTTAATCACCCTCACTACGTAAAAAGCAGTTTAAATTAAGGGAAACATTTATATTCAAAAAACTTATGTAACGTATGTAATTATTTCTGCGAAACTATAGATAGAGAATGGATTTTTCCACTACTGTGAACGTAATAAGAAAAAAGTTATAAAGAACCAAATTACATTCTTTATTAAATCTATAAGAATAATTTTGTTTACATTTATTTAAGATATTTGACTTTGATTCCTGTATGGGTGTCTAATTAAACGATTATAAATGATATAATATAAATCCAGATAAATCTACAATTGATCGTAATAGAAAGATAAAACAATCATTTTGTTTATATAAGGCTTTGAAAACAATCTGTCGTTCTCCGGGTTGCAATAACTGTAATCCCCTAGGCGTAGAACACGGAATTAGCGATTCTAGAACCGATACCATTCATATCTTAATTTGTTTGCAACAAATTCAAAATTGAAAACAGCATAAAGATTTAAATAAAACGCTTTAAAGGTTTAAAATGCGATGTATTGTGTATATTAGTTACATTCATTGGAAAATTATTTTAACTACGGCCCGACTTTTCGGATGCTTTGCAGCAGTCGCGGTCACAGGAAGACTGTCTCCCCGACTGCTTAACGTTAATCATTTAACTAATATATATTGCGTTTTAAACCATTTAATTATTTTATTTAAATATGTACTACTTACGCAAACTACAGACAGTATTTAAGAACATAATGATTTTACGAATATTAAACGCAAAGGTAGAATTTAAAAACAAAAATAGAATGAAAACTATTACAGTTCAATTTAAAACCGAAAAAAATTATTGATATACTAAATGGATACACCCACTAGTGATAGAGATAGAACTAGTGTTAGGTGTAATTGAATTTTAATGAATAATTAACAGAGCCAATTTAGAATATAAAAGGAGGTTTAATAGCTAACGACTTAGTTTTAATATTCGGAGACGAAAAACAGGCGGCCATCAAAATCACTATCAAAGACAACACTGTAATTTCTTTATTTTCAAATACTATTATTATGTGTGTATATTTAGTGCTGTGGGTTTGCCGCATGACCAGATAAATTTCGTGCGTTTGTATGTTGTGCAAATATTGGGACAAAGTTGAATTTGTGTATGAAGCAAATGCCCTGAAAATAAGGTAATTTATTTCATCTATATTATATACCTTAATGCAAAAGAAAATCTTCCAAAAGGGACACGATTTTTAATTGCTTCGTTAGTTTTAGATACCATTAACTATTTTGTTGCTAAGGAAAGTTATGGATAAAACTATAGATTTTCTAAATAAGTCAGAAATATCAATGATTTATTGAAAGTACTGATGGATTACTATACGCATTGATTGATTGTGTTTTGATCTTTAATGTTATGTAACGATCCATACACATTTCTTAGATTAGATTAAAGGATTTTACACATCACGCTTTTAATTCAGGTGTACATCTTAATACAAGTATGTTGTAATATAATTTTTAGTAAATTGTTTTCACCCCTTTCAAGTAGTTAAATGTAGTTGTAGATGTAATACTTGTAATGTTTGTACTTTTTTGTAGTTCATACTACTACTAGCACTAACTAAACGCTTAAAAGGAAAATTAACGTTGCCAATATCTTTGTTTTCTTCATACATTTTTTTACAATATCTTAAGATAGGTAAATTATAAATATTTCCAATGAGTTCTTACAAATTTGCACATTATACATATACAATATATCATTTGATTTTAAAAATTATGTACACACTTCCATTAATAAAATCTTAGCATGTTCATTAATTATTCTTCATACAAATAAGACCTTGGTGTTATGATTTCAGTTAACAAGATCGAGGGCGTGTTTAATATTTTTGATAAGGACACGATAATGTTTAAGTCTATGGTTAAAATTGTTGCGGCATATTTAACAAGCCTCTTAAGAAATTCACTCTTTAGTAAAAGCTAAAATATAACGTATCGTACGCTTAAATAAAAATACGTCTTATTATATCCGAAATAATAATTACCTTTTTTGTTTATTTAACTACAGTATAAGTAACAGTATAATTTAATTATGAGTTAAGATTTATTTATGGTCAAATTTGTCTAGGTCCATGTCCAATGTTAATTGTTTTATATAAACCGAGTTCCGTTGCGTAACGTAGACCACTTAAAATACTAACAATACAAACCAGTACAATGGACTGAATGTCTCTGTGGAAAATAAAGTTTTATATTTTAGAAAAGGAAAGAAAGCAGGTAGTAGCTAGTTTGTGTAGCCCGTCTAATCCGTCTTTTTTTTAATGCATGCAGGAAATATCACATTAGTAAAATTTCCGGTAATTAGTAATCTGTAAATTAATACTGATTTCATGACGCATCTAGAATTATATATCAATGTGGCCTCCTACAGGGCGGGTGTCCATGGCTGAGGGCGGCGCGGGCGCCTCAGTACTCTTTGAACTTTCGAACTAGCATCAATAGACAAATAGAGAAATGTCGACAGATCATCTTTAGGTATCAAAAAAAAATATTTTATTAAACCATGACATTATAGAATCAGTGCTGTGTTATAGTGATAATGGCGGATAAATTGGACGAGTATCAGGGTGTGACTGGACGGTGGCATGGGTTCAAAGACAGATGTAAAGAGAGATACGCCCAATGGAAGGAAGACCACCCTAATGGAATCGTGGAGATGCTGAAGGAGGCGCTGTTTGGAATCCCAACATCTGATCATCAACCTGATCGCGCGTATGACAACAGCGATTACAGCGATTTATTTAGGTAAGTCAATAATATATCTTTGTCGTTATGATCAAACGAAATGGCTCAACCAATTTTAATGAAAATTATGTCTCCTATGCGAAAAGGCAATAAAACAATTATTACATTTATTGCACCGACTTACTGCGTATGTTTTATACGTTTAGCCTGAAGACTTACAATACAAATAAGCAATGCTTCTTATGTCGTAAATAAAAAGTAAACTATAAATAGAATTATCATTATGTGAAATTGCAAAGAAATAAAAAAATACCTCAGTTAAATATTAAACAGTGTTATTAGGATAATATCAGTTCAGAACAATGAATCAGTTAAATATTGCACAATTTTCAAATAAAATGTGTGATTGGTTGAGTGTAAGATGTGTGACGGGGTAGTTTTGGAAACTGTGTTGTTTAAAAATGTTTTCTGAATTTTTCTAAAAAAAAACAAGACCAAATGTTGGAAACATAGCGGGCATTAATGTGATATTTAGAAATTAACTATCACTATAGTCACATACATCAACAAAGAACTATTAGAGATATCCCATCATAAGATCTTGATAGCCAAAACAACTCCAGAATTAATCATTTTGTCATTGTTTCGGTACAGGCGACAATTAGTTAAATAAGCTATAAGTACCCTTCAAGGCTGTTACAATGTTTCCATTTATTAAAATGAATCTTTGCCGATTTTTCATTGAAGTGTAATTAAAATTGCCGTCTTTTAAATTGAACATTTTGTTTATTATGACAGAAAAAAAACCTTAGTATCCAGATTTTCAAGAAGTAAACAGTTTTAAATAAAACACTTTAACGGTTTAGAACGCGATATATTAGTTAAACTTGAAAATGATGTTTAACTTCAGCCCGACGTTTCGGATGCTTTGCAGCAGCCGTGGTCACGGGGAGACCAAAAAATCATTTTTAAAGTTAAAGTGTTTTATTTAAATGTGTACTACTCGCGTAAACTATAGACAATATTTAAGTAGACATTTGTTAGGAACATATTGGACCCCTTGACTTTTATTACTAGCCGTACATAAATCCTACAACCCATCATACCTTATGATTTTTGACAAGCTTGTTAGTCTAATGGTAGCGATGTATGGCTAATAATCAACTGGTCCTAGGTTCATTCCCCAGCAGGTGCAACATGTCTCTAATTTTTCAATTTATAACTTCGTCAGGAAATATGGATATTAAATAGGTAGATAGAAATATAGACATTTTGTGCGGGTCACGAACCACCGTCTACAGATGAAAGAGGCGTGAATCTTAAGCACGTTTTGGTGTCAGTCCGTGGATTTCCGAATATCCGAAGCCAAAATATATCACCTAGCATCAACCTCATGATTGTCTGTCCACCTCATAAATCATGATTTGGTTTGGTTTTGATAGACGGTCAATGTTTTAATGACATTATTTTCGTATCTGTTAAGCTTTTAAACATTTCTCTTTAATTACAATCTAGGTGACCTTGCCTATCAACTACACCGAAGTAATCTAATTGGGTTATCTGGTTGTATGCATGTGGTATTAGTGCTTAATTTAAATATAACATTCTATATTTAAAGATTGTTATTCCAAGAATTAAGCTACACATATATTATAGAAACACATACACAAATTAAATTACTTTCGTCTTAAAACAATCATAATAATCATACGATAATGTATATCACTGTCCGGTCTTTTGTCTATCTATCTACGGGCTATTGGCTGTAAAAAATTCACAAATGATGTACACCGTATAACCTTGTAAGACATAATATACTACTAGTACATTAAATATACTTCTAATAATACACAACGGTTCCCTATACATTTCGCCCAATTCACTACCAAGCTGTCTCAGCAATTTTGTCTGCGAGAATCCAATTTTATTTTTGAAAACTCCTTCATCTTTATAAACTTAAGCTATTACCTACGACACCGTCGCGTTCCTTCCCCTCGTTCTTGCAAATTAATTTTGAAAGATAGATATATCGTCGCGCTTTTTTTTAGATCAATAAAAAGAAAATCATTCTTTCATACATATCCTTTGGTATCTTGAACTGTTTTTGCAGCGTACGCCTGGAAAACCCATAATGATGAAAAATTTTTACATATTTTTTTCACATTTCTCGCTGTATCTTATTCTTTTATAGCCTATAGCCTTCCTCAATAAACCTAACCAACACGTGGTATTTTAAAATTAGAAGTCGTGGTTCTTGAGATTAGCGTGTTCATACATACAAACAAACACTTTAGCTTTATATATTAGTATAGATGACAAGAAATAGTCATAATTCGAAAATTGTATATTGCAATTTACTTAAAATGCGGCACGGAATTCTTTAGGTGCGAGTCCAACTCACAATTTTAATAACCAATTTATAAACTTTCCTTAGGCGGAAAAATCGCCTCGAACTTATGCGGATATCAGCAGCAGTTATGGGTATAGAATTTTCATACGCCGGCGAAACAGCATTTGTCTCACCCATACTTCTACAAATCGGAGTACCACACGAGCAAATGACGCTGGTATGGGCGTTGTCACCACTCATCGGGTTCTTCATGACACCACTCTTGGGGTCTTTGAGTGATAGATGTTCCTCTAAGCACGGCAGGCGACGCCCCTTCATCTTCTTGATGTCTATTGGAGTTTGTCTCGGTAGGTAATTTAAGTAGTTTTTATTTTATTAGGAATGAAGGGAAAAGTCTATGTGATAGCTCAGTACCTTTTATATTTTTACACATCTAGAAATTATTTTATATTATTGATATGTATAATATTTTAAATTGTGCTTTAATCTGCAAATTTAACGCTGTTCTTAATAAAAAGCAAAAAATCACAGAAGGGTTGATGGAGCTACGGCGTAGAGCTCTACGTTCATTCTACGACGACAAAGTTTTGAATTCCAATATTAGTCCGTTTTTTATTTAAAAATGATAAAGTTATCTTATTGTTTATTAAAGTAACGTATAGTTAGAAAAATCGAAATATTTCTTTCATAAAACAAAGTATATTATATTGTTTTCTAACGTTAGTGAAGATCCAATAAAATGAACAGTAAATGGCTTGTAATTTGACATTTTTTATATATATAATTTCTATAAAATATAATACACATAATATTTGGAGTGTTCTTATTTCAAAATTCTAAACTACAATAACATGCTTACGAACCTTCAAAATATAGTTATAATAGAATTAGTATGTTGTTCTTTCAGGTCTGCTATTGGTTCCAAACAGTGAATCTCTAGGATATGTGTTTGGTGATCTTGGTGCGATAAACCGAACTGAAGTACCATCAGTATTGGGCCCGCGTAGCTCGGTTCTAGAAACCGAGGGTACTAACCACCACCCATGGGGGGTGTTTTTTACGATAATAGGCACTGTTTTGTTAGACTTCGATGCTGACGCTTGCCAGAGTCCTGCAAGAGCATATCTGCTTGACGTAACAGTTCCAGGTTAGTATCATTGTTATATTATCAGAAAAAAATATTTTTATACACATTTTGATAGAAAATAACGCCAATTACAAATTTTACTACACTACAGAATTACCGAAGTGACTTTTAAAATGTTCATATACTATTTAAAGTCATATATAAACTAAGGACTATAACTGAAGACTTATCCAAGGATATGGATGTCTTATTACTATTACATTTTGCAATTTTTAAAAGAACAAGGTCTTATGTAAATTCTAACTTTTTTTACGTAACTAGATAAGTCTCTGCGTAGTCTTATGCGTAATTAGAATAAGAAGTTTTGAACTTGTCATTATTACATATAATCAAACGTGATTACGAAAAGAATACAACTTAAAGATATCACTAGGGCAAATAAATATATATTTATCGGTCATTACCGGAAAATAGAGGTACAAGATCTCGATGTGAAAATATATTTCGATTAACATTATTTCTAGTGCTTATATACGAGAAACATCGTGTCGCACTTCAAAACAAACAAGTAGATTGAAGATATGATTTTAAGATTTTCTACTTTATCACCGAAATGATTGATGGACTTAATATTCATGTAACCATGATAATACGTATGAAAGGGGCAATTCTTTAAAAAGCGATATTAGTACTTTCTGGAGTTTACGCGATTGTTTCTGGAGCATTTAAATAAAACGGCTCAACGTTTCGGATGCTTTGCAGCAACCGTGATCACAGGGAGATCGCCATCTCTTCCGTCGGAATTGGTATTTGGCGAAACGAGCCCTTGCAGAATTGACCAACGGTGTTTTGCTGGTTTAGCTGGGATTTGCTGGTTTGCTGTATTCTGGAATCCAGAGTTTTTAATATGCCAGACATTTGATACAGGTGGCCTCAAATTATAAAACACATGAAATCCCATATGAAACTTTGGATTCCAAAAAACAGCATACCGATTTAAAAGCGATATAAGATTTAGGCAGTTGTCTTAACACGGTAAACGAAAAGAAAAAAAATATATACATATATGATGATTAGTCAGAAGGTCCGATATATGTCTCACTGGGCTTTGGGCGAATGTAAGAAATATTATTTGCGAGGTAGTCTTTCCTAAAATCATTCTTAAGCTGTACTAAAGGAATTTCATTCTGGGAGTTTTTTTTCATAGCGACAAAAGAGCCCTTGCTTTGCAGTAGGATATGAGGAAGAATCAGCAAACAGTTATTAATATGAGCAATACTACAAAAATATATGTGTGAGATTGCGACAACTCTACTACAACTTTAATCACTTCATTAAAATGTGACATAATTCGCGATTCATATTTTAGATTTTTAGTTTCACATATTTTTAGAATCGCTCCATAGAATTTTCACGTGTTCATTATCTATAAATTTTCCTAGTTTGGAAAATCCAATTCTTAGATAACACATAATATGAGAGATTCTCTATGTTTATCAGACATGTCGTTGAGTGGATTAACCAGTTGATATTATTTACGGCAATTACACATATTGACCTGCCTTCTATAGCATTTTGTGCTAATTAGCCATACCTCTAGATGTGGAAGCTCTTTAATTTAGTTACAAAACAGTGTGGCCACTTCAGAGACATAAAACCTAAACTTCGCAGTAACTAAATATAGAAGTTAAGATTTGAATATAAAAATCCCCCAAGTGATGTGCTAAAAATAAGTTGTCATGTTGGCAGGGGATTTGATTATTATCAACAAAAAATAGATACGCCTCACGATAGTTTCACCTAAGAATATTCTTGTGATTGCTTTATCAACGCTGAAAGGAAGGATAAGAACTTAGATCAGAGATTTTAGTGAAAGCGAAAATTTTTTTACGACGATGTACTTTTACCGGTGTACGATTGTTTTACTTTAAATTAAAAAATTGTGTTTCATTAAGTATTTTCATCATCAACACAATACAGCTACGCTTTGACAGTACTAATTCTTGTATATTCTATTAAAAAAAATATTCATCTTGTCTTCAAATGTAAACAGGCATGTCTAGGAGGATCAATTTATCAAACGTCTGACATTTTATCAATCAGACAAATCATTGGTGATTTTCTAGTGTCACTTCAAAGCCTATTGATAAAATATATCTCAAAATTAAATAAAAATAAACTGACATTGTTTATATCTCACTTAGCTTTAAAAAAACAACTTTAGGCTTAATTATAGACAACTATACTATGGAATCTTAAAGACAATTCTAATATTCTAATAACAAGAATCGCCATACTTATAAAATATTTAATAGTCATGTTTTCCATCTTATCTCAAATATAAAAATGTTTCAGCAGTGTTTATAAATGTGACTTTTGATATATCCTTAACCCACTTTGATAGACATGGGCAGTGTTTAATTAAATATTTGGGGCTGTCATATGACAGATTTACACGAGACAGAAGAATGGTTACCACTGCGTACACACGACTTCTCGTGGTATCCGCACTGTAAAATAAACTAAAAATTATCTTCCATTTTTTTTCTTATAACGTTAGTTTATTGTTAGTGGTTTAGGCCGTGTCTTCGTTAAGTCATAGCAAAGCATAATATTATATATTAAGATAATTAGCCGCACTGTACTGTATTTGTACTACAAGCACTGTAGTACAATGGGTGATACTACATAATAAGAATATTTGAAAAGGTGTGTTGAACAGTTTATTAAAGCTAAAATTTTAATGCAATGGAAATGACTACAGAGCTCACACTTTTAAATACTTAATTGATTATATTTTCTTATTATTTTTAAACCCCTAATAACTTGCCTAGCATTACTTACATCACAAACCTACCTGAAAAACGAGAAGCGTAGTTTTTGTACCTTACATTATTTTGTCTTACTGTTCGTAACAAAGCTGTGCGCACACGTCGCCTTATCACCACCTTTCGCAGTGATTGATTTATCTTTACAATATTTATTTTGGCATTTTCCGTTGGGACATTTAGTTAGCACAGATAATAATTTTGCACATGAAAACTAAATTCGAACTTTATTTGTCTACCTACATTAAAGTTAAGGCCTTATGCATTTTTTTTAAATTTACTTATGATTTTAAATATTTACTATAATTAAATAGTTACCGGATAACAGTAAATATAAAATGAGGTAATAGTAACTTTAAAGATTTAAATATCTCATTTTCTATCATAGCGTCTATAATTAGTTGAAAAGCCTTTGAAGTAGTCGATAGTGGAATTCTATATTTTAGCCATTATCTTCAGTGTTTTATATGACGTAAAACTATTATTAGCTTAGCGTGGCGCTCGAGACTAAGATTGAACGGATAATGGGGGCTTATATAACATTGTTTCAGGCCTCTTAATATGTTTTACTTTTCTATTGATCTTGCCGAAGGATTATTTTTAGAGCACACGTTGTCATTTTTCTTTATACCTTCAAACATAGATACATATACAGAACATGACCCAATATACTTTATATTACCCCTCCTTATAACATTAAAACTCAGTCTTTGGTTGTTATTATTATTATAAGTATAGTAAATATAAAATGCACTAACTGTCTGTAATTAAAGTCGATCAGTAAATAGACTGACAAAAGGTTTATATTGGTGTTGAACATAAACATATTTCACTTTTAAACAAAAATGCCTAAACTATGCTAATCGTCTGTTGTTTACGAGAAGAGTGCTGTTAAAAAAACACAAAATATAAAAGTAATCTCATATTTTGAATTTACCTGAACTGTGTCTCCTGTTACCACGGCTGCTGCAAAGCATCCGAATCGACGGGCCACATATAAGTTGTCAATAAGTTAAGATATATATTTCCCGTTTAAATCGTTAAGTAGATAGTTATTTAATTAATTTCTAAGAATTTTATATTGTAATATTTCAGAGGATCATGCCAGAGGTTTAAGTACGTTTACGATAATGGCTGGTTTGGGTGGGTTTATGGGCTACTCGCTGGGTGGGATCAACTGGGATGATACCAGCATAGGTAAGTAATATACGAAATTGGTACACATATAATTGATATAATTGAATAGATTAAAACTCTAAATATGTGTAAGAACTAAAAAAAGTTAATGGAATTTGTGAGACTGAGTGTTTTGTAAAATCGTTCACTTTGAATACTTCGCTCTGAAATATAAATAATTATTTTATAAAATTATTTGTACTTTGAAATCTAAATTAAAAAATTAACACAAACATACATATAACAAATATGTGCTTGCTTCAACGACTTCTAAACTTTAAGGTAACTTCTTCGGTGGACATGTCCGTGCAGTGTTCTCGCTTATCCTTATAATATTTATTGCTTGTGTATCGGCTACAATAACAAGCTTCAAAGAGATACCTTTGGATGAACTACATCAATATGAGGAGTTTAAGAAGAGCGCTGAACCTGCAGCTCAGCTACAAGTTGAGAGTCAAGGGAATGACGTAGAACAGGTGGAAAAAGATGTATTAAGAAAGGATTGTTCTACTTACGGCACTCTAGAAGAACCACAGGTAAGAATCTGATGATGGTCTTTCTTTATTTTTACAGACTCTATTAAATAGGGGATGAATAAGTTTATTTTTATTTATGTATTATTGCTTTATTATTTATAAAACACATATTAATGAGGAAAAATCTTACGTAATAACTTATAAATAAAAAGCGGCCTTATCGCGATAGTAGCGATCTCTTCCAGGCATCCTGAAGTACAATATAATAGAAATAAAAAATAACTTATTTAGTGGGTAGTTTACGTAGTTAATTTAAAAAAGTTAAAGATTTAAAAAAATAAACTCTAGAAATGATCAAAACTACTGAATTAATCAAAATTTTGACTCCGCGTGAGATCTTTTCAAACCATTCTAAAATTATCGACTGGCCTTTACACTAAACATAAAACTAGACACATTATTGTGTCTGTTTCAATAATCTGTTTTAATTACAGGCACTTATTTCGTAGCTGTTCGGACTTCTGCACTGCCCCATCGTAACTATTTATGTTTCCAATCGAACTCTTTAACGCATAGCTTTACAGTACATATTTTATACTGACATCGGTGTAGTTTTTAACTTATCTCACTTATTAAATATTGATTCAAATTTTCCAGAGTCCTTCAGTACCAAATGGACTTCCAATTCATGAAGGGCACGGAGAGCCACTAAGTGTTAAACACTACCTGATATCAATAATCAAAATGCCGAACTCTCTTCGAATTGTCTGCCTAACAAACCTATTCTGCTGGATGGCACATGTTTGTTACTCGCTCTACTTCACTGACTTTGTGGGTGAATCTGTATTTGGAGGGAATCCAGCAGTAAGTTGTCGATATTTTTTAAATTAATAAAAGGAGACAAACGAGCATGGAAGGGTCCTAGCCTAGTCCTATAACATCTAAAATGCATGTTTGAACTCTGGAGAAGGCCGTGAAACGACTCCGATGACGACTGCGACGGCACTGGCGCCGGTGCCGATCGTCCACGATTATCTATGCGGGGGGAGGTTTCGTGTTCCATGAACCTGTATGTGTAAGCTTCTAACGACGGGAAACCAGCTCTTAAGCTCCTTCCTACGGTAGTTAAAGCAGAGGCCTATGCTCCCTCGAGGCATCTTTGGTCTAATAGTAAGCACGGTGTGCGTTAACTAAAAGGTGCGGTTAATTTTCCAGACCATTGACCAACGAGTCTCATAAAAGTCCAGAGATTTTTAATAAGTCTTCCAGAATATAATGAAACTGCCTTTGATGTAGGTTTAATACCCATTGGCTTATGCTCAACGCTGGTTTTTTAAACTTTTATATTTTGATGTAAATAGTCCCTCCCATGATATGGTTACTCTGGAATACATATAATTCGTAAAAAGGAATTAATATAAACGATAATATCTATCGATATAATATGTTAGTGACTTGTAACTGAGTTCGTATGACTAATAATAATGATTTATCTTTATCACAACTTCTTCGTCACAAAGTGCTATTTTTATTACCTTGTTGATTAGGAAAAAGGAAGTTCTTAAAGGTTTCTTTGTGGTGAGTGGATAAGTATTCGCGCAGATAAGTTAAGTAAAAAGATTAAATGAATTAAAGAAAAATTCTTTAATTCATTTAGTCTCGTTTTGAATTCATTATTTAGTCTCGATACTTTTAAAACATGCGGCAGACACAGAATACATTACAATACTTTACTGTTCGTTCTCATACTTCAGTCTAAATTGCCATACCTGATCAAACCTTGCATTGAGCCAAGAGATAGAGATGGATGTGTCTGTTCATTCTACCGACTCGACCACGTATTAAAAAATACTAGCTTAACTTTACAAAATAATAAAAAAAAACGTAAAAATAAAGCCTAAATTAAATCTACGATCACGTTTTAAAGAATATTACAAAGTAAGCTACAATAACGCAGTATACATGTCTATGCCCTGTCATATGCACGTATTCATAAACATATAGTAAGATTTAATTAATAAATGAGTCAGAAATGAACAAGCATACTGGCACAAATAGGCATTAAGTAGATAATCATAGGGCTTCAGTTTGTTATTGCTTAGATAAGCCTTTCTTAGTCATGATCAAAATACTAAGTACTATTATATAAGTGTCAATTTAGTTCAATACATTTGACACTTGTTGTACAAGATAATTTTCCAAACGCGCTTTTTTAACTGTTATTTGGTATAAAAAAAAACTACAAACTTAAGATAAAAAAAATGTTAGTTACGAACAGGTCAGCAACAGTTACCCACAGATGTTACATTTATTAAACAGACAGTAAATTGTATATTTACACTCGTACATAGATAATAATCAAAGCAAACCAACACACGCCACAGACATAAGTGGAACTTTATTTTTACATGTTTGTTATCCAGATACGCCCGAATATTGCTAAAATATAATATCTTACTTTTATTTTTTTATGTTGAGAGGAGGGCAGACAAGCAAGGTATACCCCAGCCATATAACACGTAAACATGATGCGCTGTTTCTTCTTCTTTCTTGTGCTTCTTGTTCTCTGGTTCACCAATATTTGTACATCGTCCCTGTTATAGTGGGATAAAGTATTTATAAGATATGCCGTTTAAATTCAATGTAAATACGTTTCACACAATTAATATCCTTCTGAGCACAGTGCCGCCCTCTTGTAAGAGAAAAAGTTTATAGAGGATAAACCAATCACTCTGCTTTGGTGCGAGCTGGTGGGCTTGCTGTACTGAGTGATTGTAGCCATCGCCTTAACGTGCTCCTAGATTCAAGCTGGATAATTGATACAATAATATGGATTACTAACGTCATTGCTCTAATAAAAATTTCAGGCGCCAATTGGGAGCGAAAGTAGAATTAATTACGAAGCAGGAGTCCGTTTCGGTTGCTGGGGCATGGCGATGTATTCACTGTCTTGTGCTTGCTATTCCACTGTTATTGAGAAACTTATCAAGAAATATGGGTAAGTGTTTGACTTAGATTATGAATGTATTGCTTATCGTTAAGCGCGAACAACATTTAAAAGACATGACGCGTTTTGAGTAGAGCACAAAAGTCACAGAGAGGAAACGGTTCGCAATAGTATTGATTGATAACAGCTTCTAACAGATTGAAAATAGCTTTTAAATTTATATATTTGTATTCTACACAACAATCAAATCTCCTTGACTAAATTGTTAAAAAATATACGTTCTTCTATTCTCTCTAGATAGATACAAAACACAGCCATAACTTGGTAATATTAGGTATATATTAAAAAAATATATTTTATATTTGAAAATATTTTTTAAAATCTATGAATGCTCTGAATTAAGTTTTAATTGAAATACTTCTGAAACATCTATACATATATGTACAACATGTATTTCTTTAAAAATAGGGTAATATTAGATGTATATTTTACGATAGACGAGTTCATTAATACGAGAATGATCTATATATAATATTATGATATTTTAACAAACAAAACATATAGGCGAATAACAAATACATACGAATGTTTCTAACTTTCGAGAATGCACTAAACTTTCGTGCTTCCTGTTAAAACGTATTCTAACTTTTAACTATTATTAATGTCACTAAAATAATATGCCATTTTGTTCAACTATATTGTTATTACTACCTTTTCTATGTGTTTATATTTTGACAGTATATTTCGCGGGACATATTTATCTCAATGACACGTGGAAGCCTCCTTAATATTATAATTGCTAACTTTTATGGCTTCTGAATTTAAATACAAATATGGATGAAATAATTCAAACATAATCCAAAAATATATATTATAAATTTAATCTATTCATATACTGAAATTAGTTAAATAAGAAATGTTTCAGATTTTGTTTTACAATTATTTCTGAAACATTAAAGCATATTTATATTTCTCTAAAAATACATTGGTAATTCATTTTGAAGTACGACCCGACTAACTGTTTTTACACGAGTTGAAAGTGTTTTTATGTGTACCATTATTGATACAAGTAGATGTAAAAGTATTGTATGTAGGCATTTTTCTTCGCATCAGTATAAGTTTAAATTAAATTGATTCATAGAAAACCATAATATTAAACTCCTAGCAAATTGAACGTGAAATGCCGTTGCTCCACCAATTGAAATGTAACGTCGACTTTTAAATAAAAGTAATTTATATGAGAATATATATTGAAAATACATATTAAGGTAAGTTGTCATACAAAATGTATATACGAAAATCAAAATGAAATCACTTGTGTGAATATGGATCGTAATTTTAACGATACATCATATTGAAATATTGTTCCCACATCCTGTAGGTACTTTAAGTAAGTACTGATTTGTTAGACTTACATTATTAAATTATTTTTTCAGCGCGAAAAAGGTGTATGTAGGCGGTCTCTGTACCTATAGCTTTGGGATGACACTCCTATGTATTCTGCGATCCCAGGTAGCAGTAATCTTATTTAGTTGGACAGCGGGCGTCATGTATTCTACGCTCTTCACTATGCCTTATCTCCTAGTAGCGCATTACCATGCTACTGGAATGGTGAGTACTTATGTTTTAATAGTATGTAATGTATCTCCCCTTTTTTATACGACAGACAAGCATTCGTTTCACTTGATGGGAAGTAAAAATCCCAGGCATGTAATTAACACATACTGATATCTAGATTTTGTTCGGTCTAAAGTAACGAAATTAAAAAAAAACATTTTTTCTTTTTAAAAATCGAAAATAAATTGAAAAAAATTTTCGACTCGGGCAGGACTTGAACCGGCATCGTCAGCGTTCCGTGCTGTTGCTCTCCGTCCTGCCCGAGTCGAAAATTTTTTCAATTTATTTTCGAATTTTAAATTATATAGTGCCTTCATGTGCAAATAACATGTGAAAAATATTAATGTTTTCAAATATTTTTCTTGCTAGATTACTTCACAAAAATTTTATATAAAGAGGTATTATAATATGTATTTGCACATACAAATATAGTGCCTTTGAACGTCAACCGTATACTTACTCCTCCGGAATACACAATGAACGTACATCAAACAGATTTACAAGTAATTAACTCTTTGTAATTAAATCTGGCACTAATGAATGGTCTGTACCGGTTTGAAGTGTTTCCATTGTTTAACGATAAACGACTGCAAACGTAAAAAACACAAAAGTGTGCATTAGGCATTTTTTTTTTAGGAAAAGTGCGAGCTCAATACCCCAGAATTTAAAATTGAGTCATAAAAATAAATATGTCTAGTTAATAATGTTCTTAACCAGAGAAACCCTCTACATGACTTCCTCCAGTTGAGAACTATTTCACTTCCGCCATTTTGTAGTACTTTGTCTTACAGGGCGTAAGACAAAGTACTACAAGATGGCGGCGAATATTTTTTACACTTAAAAAAAAAAAACCATTTTCACTTTAGGAGTCTAGACCATATTCATCATACAAAACGACGTAAAATCTCTATTTCTGATATTATTCAATCAACGCAATAAATGTATAATAATTATTTATGAAAAAATATATTTATATTGCCTATGATTATCATAAAACCGATTTGTATTTTTTCTTATAAACAGGCGTACAAAAAAGTTACAAATTTAGGTAGGTAAACAATATTATGTTGCATGCTTTGTAGCAGCCGTATTTTTCCTGTATTGTAATTATTAACTCTGCTAAAAACCCTGATTAAATTGTACTTTATGCAGTGGGACAGTGCAGGAGGAGGCTGCAACGAAAAGCGAGGTATCGGCACAGATGTCGCTGTAGTCAGTAGCTGTGTATTCGTCGCACAACTTCTTATCTCATTCATAATGGGCTTCACAGTAAAGGCTACAGGGTCTACTGCTGCTGTGGTCGGTGTAGCAGCTACTTTAGCCGCCGCTGCTGCTGTAACAGCTACTAAGATTACATATTTAGATCTATGAAAACCTCACTATAGCGAATGAAAGAAGTAAGCGAGATCTTCGAATTGCGCACTCAAAAAGTTATTTTTATTTATATCGTTTTTTTGATGACAATCTGAAAGAAATGTCACAATCGATTGATTTTGCCAGTTAAACGACTAGATATGAACGAACGATCGACACATCTCTTACGAATCTCATTATTGATACCTTTGTCTTTTTACCTGTCACTTGCATGAAGGAGTATATGTAATCAAGAAACATGACAAGGACTTTTATTGACACAAGATGTGTTACAGTGTTGGGTGGAATTTATTTACGCCACCCGAAGGAATCTATTTTTTTATACTAGAAAAAAGAAAAACATACGGAGAGGCTTGATTTACTGCGTATTATTAAGTTTTTAGACATAAAAATTAAAATTAATTATTGTCTATAATTAAGCAAGTGTTACAGAATTAATAAAACTCTTTAAACCAATGTCAAACGCGAAAAAGCCCATGCGACCTAAGCTGCTCAAAGCATTCGAAACGTTATTTCCTTGTATAAAATAAGCTATCTGATATGTTTCCTGTTTTAAACCGTTATTTTTTATATAGCTTGTAAGAATCTCTGATATTGAAAAAGTTTATATTGTAACATTTTTAAATTTTATTTGTTTTAAAAACGTATCCTGCAGGTGTTACTAGTAGAAAATCATATTGTTTATATCCATTAAACATATAAGTATTCTCTTTTTTGCAAAATTATACGTAACATAAATGTCTAAGTGACAATATAATATATATTTTAGTACCACTACTATTAAGCATAAGAAGGATTGATTTTAATAATGTATTAAGTTAGTAAACCGAAACCAAATATGGTAGTGAGTAGGCGTGTGTTTCTCGCACAACTGCTAGAATAAATTATGATATTATAAAAGTACTAGGTATTATTCGCTATTATTGTTACACTATTTTTGTGTTGATAAATGTTCTAACCAACACAAAAATCATTTTTCAATTCGAACTAATATTTCCTGAAATTACCACGGTCAAACAAAGAAACTCTTTAGTTTCATAATATTAGTATGTAATGCATTTCATTAAAAAAAAAGCCATGATACGGGTAAACTATTTTTTTAATTGAATTTTGTGTATGGGCCTCCAATACTAACAGAACGTTTTGACGTGATGCTGGAGCACCTACTTGAGAATCCGACGGATACACGTTCTTTACAGTGTGTTTTTGTATCTGAGGGGCAATTTACTCCGTTCGTAACTCATGGGGGTAGATCATCCAGCCTGCTCATGACGAACAGGTTAAAACAGGAAGGTACATCGTTGCACGTGCATTTTAGTCCAGCTCGTAGTAAATTTGACAATCTAATATCTACAATTTTTTATCGCTTATTTGGCTGCTAAGCAATGTTATCATATATTATAAATAAAATCTTTGGAATTAGAAAAAATGTGTCGTCTAAAAACGATTTCTTTACTCCCATACACAATATATTAAGATGAACTTAAACACTATAAAATGAAATTTAAGTGTGAATTAGTGCGTAAGTTTCAGAATTCACTTGTCAAGTGGTACCAAGTTGCCAGGATAGTCGTATACTTATTTAAAAGCTAGCAATATATGTAAGTATTGAAGTAACTAATGTTATTTCTTGTTTAAGAATTTGAATTATCACGAATATTAAAATGATTATTATTAAGAACTAATTTGTAAATACTTTAATATAAAATGTTGCTGTCATAATTACGAATTAAAAATCCAGTTATGTCCGTTGTTATTTTGAATATTAAATTGTATTGTAAGTAATCTTTTTTCTTTATTAAACATTTATTGATTAATGCCAATAAAAAAACAAAATATTACATGCTGTGTGTATTTTTTGTCATTTTTTGAGTTTTTTTAACACATAATAAGGTCAATTTTATTAACTTAAACCATATTTAAAAAATAATATTTAAATAAAACACTTTAACGGTTTAAAATGCGATGTATATTAGTTAAACTAATTAACGTAGTTAAAATAGTTGGATTTGGAATTAAACGTGTTGGATGCCTTGCAGCAGCTGCCTCAGAGCACGATTTCCAAATGAGTTTAACTAATATACATCGCGTTTTACACCGTTAAAGTGTTTTATTTAAAAGCGTATTACTCGCGTGAACTACGACTGTAATAAAATCCCGATTTTTTATTTAATTTTTTTTTATTTGTTGTCCGTTTGTCACCAGTGGAACCGCGCCCTGTCATAGTTAAGAGATAATATTATACTTGTTAAGATGCATTTTAACAATATCCATTATGATACCGAGAATGGGGTTCCTACACCAGGTTTGGATGAAATTAACACCAACTAAGGCTCTGCAGCGGTGCCAGAGAGAAGAAGCAAGATTTTTTGAATATATGTACCGTGTCACTTATTTAGCAGGTAAGGGACAAAAGAAGTGATATATCCAAGATACAGTATCTGAAATACAGATGCTGGATATAAGGTTATCGATAAATAAATTTAATAAAATTTAGATTGTCTCAAAAGGCGTATTATTATCTCAACGATTTCTTTAATGAGAAGACCGTCTGGCAGTAATATGAATTGCTCTTAAGATTAATAAATTCACAATGTATTAGTTTATAAGACATATTAAATAAAGCCGGACTGAGTTTCTTGGGTTTTCTTCTCAGTTATGTTGCTCTTTTGACCACTCTGTAGAATCACGACGAACAGACAGACAAACCAAAAAAATTTGGCGAAACTAAATAATTTTTAAAATTTTAAAGAGAATAAAGTATATTTTATTTTATTTTATTTGATATGAATTTTTAATTTTGTATCTTGCATTTAAGTAAGTACATTTTTCTTAGTATTTTATAGTTATTTTTTCTAAGAAATTACTTTTAGTCACATGTTAGTAGAAATTTGAACAACAAATAAAAATGAATTATTAGTTCAACATCACATGTAGTTATGTCACTGTCTTTTAAATTAGAACAATTGGATCCGAAGAAACTACTAAATTCGGACTTGCCATTTGCTTCTAACGTTTTGTCGATTTTGGTAATTTGGAATTATTATATACTAGCTGTGTCAGCGACTTCGTCCGCGAGAATCTTTTTTTTGCAAGTTAACCTTTAAAGATAGACATATAGCGTCGCGAGATTTTTTTGAAACCATTTAGAGAGGAGTTATTCTTTCATAAATATTTTTTGGGTATCTTCAACCGTTTTTGAAGCGTACGCCTCGAAAACCCATAATGAAGAATAATTTTGACATTTCTCGCTGTATCTTCGCCTATATTAGTCACAGGGCGATGTTTTATAGCCTATATAGCCTTCCTCGATAAATGCTCTAACCAACACAAAAAGAATTTCGAATCAGTATTACCTGAGATTTGCATGTTCAAACAAACAAACTCTTCAGCTTTATATATTATTATAGATTTGTAACAACGTAAGGAAAACTTTACGTAATAAAAAAACCTCCTTTTTTGCCCTATTTATACACACGTAAAAGTTATTAAAACTTCATTCCAACTTTGAATGCACGTAAACTATGCCCCTTCACAAGTTTCCAAGTCTACATTCCATTAAGAGTTTTGCGGTTTAATACGTGTTCAAAGTGAACATTAATGCTCTAAGTTTTAAACATCTGCGACCCGACGTTCTCGTAATACAAATTATGCTCCTGAACTTTGTATCGTAAAATAGCTCATTGTAGGTAACAAAGACTAGGGTAAAAGCAATAATAAATATTGTTAGGTCAAATAAAGTAAGAGTTCTTTGTCTTAACTTTATTTGTGATAGAAGAGGAAAGAAAAGGACTTGATAGAAAGTCTAAAAGATGGGCTGTCAAAATTAAATAGCCTCGAAAATCCATAGACTGAAGCCGAAACGAGGATTCACACTTTAGACAATCTACTGATTTAACCCGCCATTTTCGGGTGTGGATGGTAGTTCGTGACGCCGCGGCCGACGGATTTTTAATAATCCTGCCGCCCATTTATATACAGATTTTCCAGGCGAAGTTTAATATCTTTCATAAAATTTGTAAAATGTCACTAAAAGTCTACACAAGATAAAAAATACTTCTGTGAGGACTGGTCTCAACTCAACTCTTCCAAAACTATTTTTACTTTGGATTTGTATATTTTATCAATAATCTAAGTTATTATAACCTGTTGTTTAAAGATCGATAAAATGATTAAGCAATGTAGAAAGCGATACTATGTAATGGAATAAAATTGCAAAAACTGCTTGAAAAAAAGGGGGGGGGGTATTACCTACCCAAGCAGCGTGGGCTGTAGAATATTATAATAAATCTATGAATCTTTAACCATGCTATTATCAAGCTGTTATAAAGAGGTTAATCTTTGACTGATGTTTACAGCTGTTTTTAATTATTCGTGCACTCATTCTATGAGCATTCAGTCTCAACGTCCATCAATGAGCGTCACCAAAATAACTTGTAATCGACACGTCGAACCCTACAAATACACAACGCTACCACATGCCTCTAATTAGGAAAGGGAGCACGTATGACACGTCGCGATGTTGGGGGAATTCCCCGAAATAGCAATACCACGAGTTCCGTCATTTGTTAATTAATTAATATTAAGTTTAGGTAATTTACGAACGAGAATGATAAACAAACATGTAATTTGGTGACAGCTAATGAAGTTGATAGATGTTTTCTCGAATTTAATACTACCAAAACATCACTAATGTCAACAACCAATAAAAAAGCTCTTGACTGAAAATAGAGCAGGATTACGCGTTTTCGATAGATACTATCTGTGCCAGCGACTTCGTCCGCGAAGAATTGTTATTACAAATAGTTAGAGTTCGCGTTATTTTCGGCATCGAAATTCTTTTTTGCAAACCTCTTCCAAATCTTTATAAATTAAGGCTATCCACCCACGACGACGTCCGCATGCAAGTTAATCTTAAAAGATAGACAAATACTATCGCGGACATCTTTTTAGATAATTTAAAGAGAAATCATTCTTTTATACATATTGAGGCATCTTGACAGCTTTCGTAGCGTACGCAACGGGAATCTATAGGGATGAATAATTTTACACACATTTCACATTCTTTGCTGTTAATTCGCTTCTATAAGCCGCATCGCCAACCAACACAAAAATAATAATTCAATTCGAACCAGTAGATCCTGAGACTAGCTCGTTCAAACCAACAAACTCTTCAGCTTTATACATTAAGTATAGGTTACATCTCGTTCGTCGCTAATTTTTATACACTTTGTTTAAACATCGTGGATTGTACAAAATGCTCACTACTGATGGGATTACTTTATTACAACTATTTTAGACTACATTTTTAACAAGTATATAACTCAAAAAAATCTTAATTTAAATTGAGGAAATCTAATGAAATTGTATTTCTTTGAGATCGATATAATACACTGTTTAAAGTCATTGGTTTAAAAAAAAGCAAAAATGTTCTTATTTGAGACAGTACTTTCATTCAATCAGACAAAAGATCGTCTTATTTCATATTATAATGGAGTTGCACGTTGGAATTTCAGATTGTAATAGTCACGAACGCTCGCTACGCAAAAGGTTTTCCGCTGAAAATATGCAAACTCAACATTTCCGAAGCTGTAGGAATTCCGATTTATTCCCTTAAATCGTCCATTCCGATATTTATTAAATTGACTTTTGATTTCGGCAATGTAGTGAAAATCTTCTACGTCGGATTTACATTTAATTATTTAGTATATTTTTTCTGGATTCCTTCCTTTTAAAATACATTAAATATATACTTCTATTATAAAGCTAATGAGATTGTATGTTTGTTTAAACGCGCTAATCTCAGGAGCTATAGGTTTGTAATGGAAAAAAGTTTTTGTGTTGGATATACCATTAGTCGAGGAAGGCTATATAGAAACATCACTCTCGAACCAATAGGAGCGAAGAATCTGTGAAAAATGTGAAAACAGTGAGGAAAAATATTTATTTTTGAGCGTTTCCGTTGCGTACGCTTAAAAGACGGTACAATAAACCAGAAATATATGAAAGAATGGTTCCCCTTTATGTGATATTAATACTAATTGCTTTCTCCTTTTTTATTATCTAACTAATACAAATCATTAATACCAAATTTTACATTAATACTTAGAATAAATATTTAATGAAGGTGCATGTTGTTTTTTGTGTCTGTTATAATGATCGTATTGTGCATGTGGAATGATAGGAAGCCCGCTAGTCGTGTACCGAAAAATATATAGTTATCGATTTGTGGTCTTCTTAATAAAATAAGCTGAGATCGTGTGAAAACTTATTTCCTTTAGTTATCAAACTTAACTGTGTTTAGAAAACTAGTTTCATCGACGAACTCTGTTAACTTTGATCTATCGACAGATGAAATGAAAAAGTTAGTAGAAGTGTGTTAAGAGTAATGAGGGACATTTAAAAGTCCTCCATGAACTTGCATAGTTGTATTGAAGTAAATATTATTACTTATCTATAAAAAATATATTTTTTCTTAAACATGTTGGACATATTAAAAACCACTTAAAAAGCCGTGAAGTTTAGTTGCGCAGTCGCACGAAGTTCTCATCTATCAAAAAAAAACAGTTAAAGTTTTAGGTCTTGGACGAAGCTTTGTAAGCTCCTCAAAGTGGATGTGACTAGTATACGAACTGATATTCAACTAAAATTACATATTCATGAAACTGGGCGACGAGCGCTGTACAGCCAAATTCACGTGAAAATAGGCTCCACCGCATATGATATGCAATTCCCGCTACCCGTAAACCCTCGGTTATTACAAACACGTAATGCTTTAGTTAAATGTAATTGAATTAGTTTCTCTCTCTTATTTTTTAATGTTTTAATAAGGAAACAAATACTTAGTACTTATACACCAATTTAAACTGAAGAATGTTGAAGTAAAATAAACTACCCAATTTCGGAAGTTTGATGACGAGAAAACAAAATGGAGACTAACAGACCCACTAACCAGCAAGCATACGCACCCACGGCAGAGGCAAATTAAGATAATTCATGAATTTTATAAGACCAGAGTAAGATTATTGTTCATAAGTATTTAAAACATAAATCAAATATAAATACTAACATAATCCGAAGCGTACTAATACAACTTATGTTTTAAATATTATAACCATCAACTATTGTAAAACAGAAAATAAAAAGGCTTATTATTATGTGTTATGATCTACAAAGATAGTTTAAAGGTATATATAATGTTCTACTTTTTACTTGTATAGTTGGTTGAGCTTACGCCCAACGTATGAAATATATGGAAGTGGAAAAAGTGTAATAACTTGTAAATGTGTGTGTAATGATTAGTTAACAAGTCGTTGGCTCAATCCCCAAGGGGTAAAAATTTACTTATATGTTTGGCCTATGCTCAGAGGGGGTGACAGGGTTCTTTTAACCTATTACAAAGGGAAATATATGTGTACGAATATATACCAATCTGTGCGTGATAGTATCTAAATCCCTAAGAACAGTAGGTAAACTATGAATACAGAAAACCTACTTTTCCATATTCGTAGTTATTAGCCATTACTTGCAACTACGTTATACTGTCCTTTTGATGATTTAAATATTAAAATATAATCAATTAAAAGGATATCAGTGAACAAACGAATAATTTACTACGAATAATTAGAGATCTGTTCCCATTCTACCATTACCAACAGATACTATGAAATATTCTTGTATACTTAGCGTACACCTATTCAGTTATAATTGTAGTAAACCAATATATTGCATAAAGGACAACAGCCAAATTTGTACAGGTACCGTTACCTGACTAAAACTTAAAATAACAAACCATAAAGAGGTTTTAGATTTGACGTAATAAATACTACTAATATACTATACTATATAGTATAAGATAGATAGATAATATTTTTATATAAAAATATTATTTAAAAGCCAACATAATAATTTATCATCAAAATTACTTTTGAGGTTAGAATCAATAAATACGTTTAATAACGTTTGAGTTTATCGCTGAGCAGCTAAACGAGAGCTTCCGTTAAGTATATAAACAGAGTTGTATAAAGAAATCTGTATATGGGAGGGTAGCATAAAATAAATATTTAAAAACAATCCGTATCAATAACGACAGTCAGCCATGTCGTTGAAACTAAATATAAATCGATAGAGCATCGATAACAAATAAGTCCGTTACACCGTGATCAATATAGTTTTACTTGGTCTTTACATATAAAAAGCATTAAACAATAAATAAATATAAATAATCATTGTTTATTGTACGTTATTAAAGTTATCTAACGATAAATTCAATATGCGAACTGTAACGTTCTGAACAACGAAAGATTTAAAAATATTCGATTTGGAAATAACACTCATATACATTTTTCCTGACTTTATTATTGATAATTCTTAAAATAAAAAATAACTGGTTTTTTGATATATAACATCTGGTCGCCGTCAGGGACGTTTTGGCCATAGCTCTTTGCTGAATATATTTTAACCATCGTAAACATTTTTATTTGAAACAAGAACGATTTTCTCTTATTTTGCTAAATTATATCCAAAATGATAATGGAATTACACCTCAACTTAACCAAATCATTATCTAAATACCCATTTTATTGAGCGACTAGACAAGCTCACAATTTATCAATCTATTAAGCTTCACGATGAACTGTAATGGATTTAATTCAATTTGGAGAAGATTAACAAATACCAAAGCGCTTGAAATATCGAGTGGCAAATTTGAAACTATGTTTTTTGAACTTGTTTATCGTGTATCGTATTTGGGAGGTATTAAAGATCGTATTTGAGAGTATTCAAGATTAGAGACTTTCATAGCATAAGAAAGTTTTAAAAATAAGAATGGGTATAGAAAAATTAAGCGATATGCAATATATTAAATTAAGTTATACAATTTTGTTATTATTCGTTATTGTTGACTTGGCTAAGCCCTGATGTCCATAAAAATATTTATCCACGATTACTTTTTATTTTTGTATTTAAATATTTCGTAGCGGTAAGCGGTAGCTTAAATAAAAAAAAATATTCGCGTTCAATTTATTGCATATTGTTAAATCGAAAATAATAACTGTGTACGATCTACGAACTCGCATGTTAAAATTGATAATGAATCAACATTAAGGGTAATTAGATGTACATATTAGATTTGTGCAATCATATCATACATTCTTAAAATTTTCCAGGAATGTCATCTGCAGAGGACAGTTTTACATACTCCTTATACAGTACAACTGTTAAATTTCTCCTCATGTGTCTTGTGTTTACTGAGCTGTGGCATTTTATGAGTACTCAATGGACCATAGACACTATTACTGATAGTGTCAATATTACCTTGATACAGCTGGGAGCTCTTTACAAATATATAAAGAAGGTAAGTGAAAGATCGGCCTTGTGCGATTCGAACTCACGGACGAAGAGGTTATCTATAAACTTGGTGAAAACCCACACTATTGCTTCGAAAGAAAAGAAATAAAAATTTGTTTATTGCCATGAAAAACAAAAACAGTAAACAATTAAGAATTAAGATACATTTTGTAGGAGTCAGACTTAGCTAAATGCTGTAGGAGTTTTTCAGTCTAGGGCTCCCTCAGGCTAAAGATCCGAAAGGATTTAATAAATAATGTTAATTGAAAAAATTTAAGCAATAGCAATTTGATGTACATTCTAAGAGGCTCAACAAAATACATACACAGGCTAAAGAAGAAAAGAAATAATTGTTATTAATATATTTTCAGTTCAGGAACCAGCAAGTCTTCATACAACTGGCTTCGTCAATGAACTCAACAAATTTCGATGTATCTACGAAGAAAAGAAAGGATCTTTTGGAATATTGGGTAAAGAGAAATGAGTTTCATGTAAAACTCATGCTCGCGCTGGGCACATGTACTATCATTGCTTGGTAAATCTTGAATTATTGACTCCAATTTAACGATAAGCGTCAAAAATTTCTTATGTCCACTCCGCGGGCATTTCTCTGGGATTCGAATTTGGAATCAAATTTAAACGTAATGTTCTTCTAAACTACTTAAGTTGTAGATGTTATTTTATTTAATACTTGCTTTAGGAAGTAAAATCTATGTTTACAAGACAATAATTATTTCATCTTATATTTCAGGTACATTTATCCCTTGGTTGATGATTTGGAATACAACCTGTGCGTTTCAATTCGTCTCCCATTCACGTATCGAACTCCTCTACTCTATGCGGTCACATACATTTCTGTCATCATCGTGTTTTCTTACATCTCCTACTTCGTGATGATCAATGATCTAACAATACAAGCTCATTTGATGCACCTTTTGTGCCAATTCTCAGTCTTGAGACATTGCTTTAGATATATAATAGAGGACTGCAAGACGGGCTTTAATCGTAAGTTTACACTTATAAGACTTTTAACAGTTTAAATCAAAAAGGTATCTTCAGGTACTATTTTTTTTCACAGATTTGCCAGAATCCCAAATGTACACAAATGAGACATTTAGACAAAGGTGCAAGAAACGTCTCGGAGACTTGATACAGCAACACAAATTTATACTCAAGTATCTACTTAAGTGATATAGAAAAACATATTAAAATACTTAATTGTAATGGTCATCATAAAACCTACTTGTTTCTATAATTTAGTTTCTATGTCATTTACAATGGATTCTTAAGTTAACGTGAATTACATTTTAATTTACTTTCTTTCTATATCTAGTCACTGTGGATTTGAGATTTTTGGTGACAATATAATAGGTCCAGTTTGCAAAAAAGAGGGTTTCATATCTATATTAAAATTATAAAGCTGAAGAGTTTGTAACAGTGATAATTTAGAAAGTTAAGGAGGAGGATTCTACAAACAAATTTTGATGTCCAAAATAAATTCCACGGGGACGACACACAGCACAGCTGGTCTTTGTTAAAGCTCGAAATGTACTTTTAATCTATTGCAGCAACACAGCTGCATTACGGGACATACTAAGTGCACCGATGTTAGGACAGTTAGCTGTTAGTACAACATTAATTTGCTCTATTGGTTATCAATTGGTCGCCACAGTAAGTACTGTTTATTAATAACTAAACAAGTAGTACGCTAGTTAACCCAATAATATTAACTCAATTATACATTAGAAACACAAGAATGTGTCTAATCTGTTTGAAATTTATAATTTGAAACATCTTGGACTGGATATATGGATAGTAAATAGGAGGTAGAAATATCGAAATTCCGTCCGGGTTACGAACTATGGTCCACAGCTGATAAGCATACTTTAATCACTTTTCGGTTTTAGTGGATATCCAAAGTCACATAAGTTGACAGCGCATCGTGTTCGATGTTATATAGCTGGGTTATTTGACATTCCATCAAGCGAATCCTATGATCGTTAGTCCATCTCAATATATTTAATTCAGTCAAAACAATATTCATATTATTTCTTATTGATACATATTTATAAGATCGAAATTGAGAAACTGCCAGACTCTTTTAGCTCCACAAGGAATCCGATAATATACCAATGATGAAATCAAAACACAGAATTAATATTTGCTCAATCAATTTGCAGTCCGCGAGCGTCAACATAACAAAGTGGCTGATGAGTCTACTGTATTTGGGATACAATATGTTTGGTCTGTACATAGTGTGCCGATGTTGTGAGGAAATCAAAATTCAGGTACAATGTTTGTTAGTTGTGATCAATTCATTCCCTTGAACAATATGCAAATCATTGCTTGCTTGTACATTTTATTGTTAAAATATCTCTCCGTTTAATTATTTTAATATAGTAACGAGGGCTATAATGATAACGCAATCGAGCAATCCTTACTAATATTATAAATGTGAAAGTAACTCTATCTCTCTCTGTCTGTCTGTCACGCCAAAACTACTGAACGAATTTGAATTAAATTTGGTACACAGATGGTCTAGACCCTGAGAAAGGACATAGGCACTTTTTATTGCGCAAAGAGGGTTTAATGATCTATCTATCTCTTTGGATTTTTGGCAATAGGAGGGGAAGTTAGAGTAGGAGTGATGTGAGGCAAAGTAGCACTTACCATATAGATTGGCTGCGACAAATGCGCAATTACATAAATTATTAAACAGCCTAAAAATTATACCCCAAGTCACTATTCCACGCGAACGAAGTCGCGGGCACAGCTAGTTTTATTATAATCCTGAAGCCTTTCACTTCTGCAAGCATGTGGTTATAGTTGAAAACTTTTATATTTTTCACACGTTCAATTTGCATACGATGGCAATTTATAAATTAAAAATCTATTCACCACGTCTCATGCTGCTGCTCTAATCAATTAAGCTACCGTGTCATGTAGCTCAATCGCTTGTGCCGCTTCTGTGGATGCCAGTTGAAATCCCGCCCGCGTCGTATTTTGTTTTTTAATCTAAATACTTTTTATTTAAGATAGAATATATATTATGTCAATTACAACCGACAGATAGAAAAGTTTATTTTTTTCTCCCCTACCATTGTTTTATCTATTATTTTATTCTATCATTGTCTATGTCGATAACAGAATCTGGCCATTGGTGACGCTGTATATTTCTCTGGTTGGGAGCGTGGTATTACGAATATACCAGGATTTCGATCGAGTATTCTTCTCATTTTGGCCAGATGCAACAAACCACTTGTATTATCTGCAGGGGGCATGTATGAACTATCTCTTAAGGCATATGCTGCTGTAAGTCTTTATTCAAAGGAAAACCAATTAATACCTTTTCATTTTTTTTATGACGAGTGTGTGTTGAAGTATAAACAATTAATTTGCAAAGTTAATCTGTCTAAGTTAAGTTGTAGCTTAACAATTCATGTTACTAATTTTCCAAATTTTTATTGATATAAGAATATTTAATACCAATAATGCAACTTCAATTTTCTTACAGATGGTGAAAACTTCGTACAGTGCTCTTACTGTGTTATTAAGATTTCGCCACAACTGAATGCATCAAAACATAAAATTGCTTCGCGTAGCTATTTTCGGCACAAATAAAGAGTATGCACAAAGCTTCATAAATAATACCACAGCTCTATTCAGCACGCTATACTTTTGCGTCATAACTGGAGTTTACTTTTTGTTTTGAGTGGTTGATTTATGTTAGATATTTATGTAAAAAAAGAAAACGACAAAACGGTTTATCATGTTTTATAAAATTTAGGAGTAATTTTATGAAAATCTATCACCAAATTAATATTTAAGTCTAATGCTTAAAACATTTCTTTATTTTTCTTCAAGAACTCTCAGTAATTTTTACACATTTTTTACGTCACACCCTGTTGGACTTGTGTACGTTTAGTAATATGAATAAGAAATAAAAGCGTAACAACTGAACAACAAAAGGCCTCTCCACATTCATTTAATAATCTGTCTGTAATTTTCACAAATGTTTCCGTTCAATCTGAAAGTAGTTGACGTTAATGAAACACATGCTAAATGAAACTCTTTCAACAATTTCGGAACAAAGTAAGCTGAAAAGTATCAAGGTCGTAATTAAAAATAAATTAGGTTATAAAATATCGTTATATATTTAGAGTTTTTAATGGAAAGCGTTCAATTTTAATTTATATAAGGGCAATGATATCATCTTTGAAATATAGCAAAGGCACTTGGAGACCTCACTTCTCAACTAAATCTTTCAGCAGATTTGTGACTTCCTCGAGCTTAGATGTAAATTACGCATTTACTAACAAAGAGATTTATTTGCCAGCCGGATCTACCGCTTATGCGAAATTTGTCACCTGTCCCGTTTCATTGTATCTTCATAATTTGAGAAGTGACTATTTTCGAATTAAAAAATTTATTTTAAAAAAAAACTTTTTCCGTTTTTTAGCGTAATATTTTCGGAGATCTTTATTTAATTAAGATGTTGAGGTTTTTTAATGTGACTATTTCGAATTAAACATATAATGATAAAAATCTATATGAGCCATGACAGAATATTTATAAAGAATTGTTTCTAGTATATTATGCAATTTTAACTACCAAGCCAGACAAAGAAAAGAGGGATTTTATGTTACTGAGATATTTTTTGGATGGGTATACGTATGTATATGGGTAGCACAAGACTATAATCTTAGTACTTTTTTGACAAACAATAGTGAAGTCTAAATTACGAAACACACATTCTTTATGCCTACCTAAATATATATCGTCATCATTACAAATAGTTTGATCGTTAATTCAATTAGTTTGAAAATTCGTCTTAGATAATTTAAAAATCGAAAATAAATTGAAAAAATTTTCCCCCCCGGGGGGGATTAAACCCCCCCCCCCCCCTTTCCCCCGGTTTTTCTCCCCCTTTAGCCCCCCCCCCCCCCCCCCCCCCCCCCCCTTTTTTTCCCCTTTTTTTAAACCCCCCCCCCCCCCCCCTTTTTTTTCCCCCCCCCCCCCCGGGTTTTAAGGCCCCCTTTTTTTTTTTTTCCCCCCCCAAAAAATTTGGAAGAAAAAAATATAAAATTTTTAAAATTTAAAAAAAATTTTTTTTTTTCCCCCCTTTTGGCCCCCGGGGGCCCTTTAAAAATAAAAAAAAAAAAAAAAAATAAAAAATTTTCGGGCCGGGGGCGGGCCCCCCCCCCCCCCCGCCGCGCGCGGCGCCGCCCCCCCCCCCCCCCCCCCCCCCCCCCCCCCCCCCCCCCCCCTTTTTTTTTTCCCTCTCCCCCCCCCCCCCCCCCCCCCCCCCCCCCCCCCCCCCCCCCCCCCCCCCCCCGTTTCCTTTTTTTTTTTTTTTTCCCCCCCTATTATTTTTTTAATAAAATTTTATTTTTTTTTATTTTTTTTTTTTTTTTTTTTTTTTTTCTTTTCCCCCCCCCCCCCCCCTTTTAAATTTTAAAAAATAAAAAAAAATTTTTTCCTTTTCCCCCCCCCCCCCCCCCCCCCCCCCCCCCCCCCCCCCCCCCCCCCCCCCCCCCCCCCCCCCCCCCCCCCCCCCCCCCCCCCCCCCCCCCCCCCCCCCCCCCCCCCCCCCCCCCCCCCCCCCCCCCCCCCCCCCCCCCCCCCCCCCCCCCCCCCCCCCCCCCCCCCCCCCCCCCCCCCCCCCCCCTTTTTTTTTTTTTTTTTTTTTTTTTTTTTTTTTTTTTTTTTTTTTTTTTTTTTTTTATATAGTCCTTCTGTCAATAACATGTGAAAAATATTAATGTTTTCAAATTCGTCTTAGATATTAAATTTTTATATTAATAAGCGCTAATAGTTCATGCATAAATACATACGTACAGACAAAATTAGTAACCGTTATTCTGATGTCGTTGGATTAAAGAAAACATATTGCACCAATTTCGGTGTATTCATAACTTCATTGCATCATCGGCCTTATAACAATATTTACTAATTTTAAACCCATAAAATTGTGTCAATGCGATTCAAGTGTAGCGCGTTAATAACATAATAATTATCTCTTTAAAACTGCCCATATGTCGCCACATGAACAAGGCCACAGCTATTTTAAGCTGTGTCTAATGAACTATTCTTATAGAGAAAAACGTTGGACCTTGTCTTATATGCGCAAAGGAGCAAATCAACGTTTACGGTGTATCATAAATATGAAACAAGAACTCTTCCTTTTGTAGAAACTATGAGATCATAGTGTTACCATAGTGCATTGAACTTCGATAGTGGGGAAGCAATGTATTTCGTGGAAAATATACGCCACAATGATATGTTATATTAAAATTAAGCAACTACAATAGATGCACAGATAGGTACTCCTGCTAATTTTAGTAATAAATATTGTTGTCAACTTTCAATAATACATTCCTCTCGTCCTTTTATACTTGAGCTGAAAGTTTGTTTGTTTGAACGCAAATCTAATCTCAGGAACTAGTGGTTCGAATAATTTTTTTTTTGTGTTGGATAGATTATTTATTGTGGAAGCTTTTACGCTATAACACTGTTTTCGCAGAGTACGGATTGAAAACCCTCTAAGATGAATAATTTTCCCCGTTTTTCCACATTTCCCGCTGTTTCTTCGCTACTATTAGTCACAGCGCGATGATTTATAGACTATAGCTTTCCTCGATAAAAGCTCTAACCAAAACAAAAAGGAATTTTCAATTTCAACCAGTAATTCCTGAGATTAGCACGTTCAAACACACAAATAAACAAACAAACTCTTCAGATTTATATATTAGTATAGATTAAGAGGCGTTTGCTTGCAAAAATAAATAGGTAATATGGTGTTCAAAATCTACTACTTCATTCAAACGAAATCCCGGGCACAGCTAGTACATAATGATCCAGGGCACAGTCAGCCTAAGAAGAACATCATGGTTTACGAAAAAGAAATACATATAAGAAAAGAGATTGTATTAAAAAGTAACAAAATTCTTCACTAGAGCATACTTACGTATGGTTCGAATCAAAAGCTAGGCTCATTTGTTCATAATAATTATTAAATTTCCTTTTTAATTGACAATTTATTTATAGCTTGTAAGGATATCGATTGAATCTTGGTACTCAAATTCTATCGCGTAATGTACCTACTGTGGTTAAATTTCTAAACCATATGCTATAAAGGAGCTTGCACGTTAGTCAGTGAATTAAACGTAGCAATTTTAAGAGTAAAATATTTTCATAAGAGCGTTTTCGATTTTTTTAACAATTATAAAAGATCAAAATTGTATTAACCATTTGAAAAATCGGCGATATTTTTAATGTGAAGAATAAGCAATTAAATAAGAATTTAAAATTCAGCGCTAAACAAAAGTTTTTTTCATTTATTATTGCAATACCTCACAGACAATAACTTTTTTACTATAGCAGATCTTGAGTGAAGGTTCCGTTAGCTGCGCATGGACTTACATTTCAATTATCAATTTGCTACTCTGTACCATCACAATATTCCGGTCAGTCACCTGCGTTTGCGCAGGTTTCTTCAACATATGAGTTCGTCCTTAAATAGACTTACCTTTATGTAATTAGTATTGGTGCAAACGTAATATGCAGTTACATATAAAAGCTTATAGACAGGCATAAAAAAATCTTAACGACAAAGCAGTCGTTATTAAGAGCGAGCATCTTAGAAAAAGTAAAAAATACTTCAACTAACTTGTCGTAAAGTACTATTCCCCTTTGTTACACATGTTTGTGTCCGTCTTACTAATGGAATTTTGATTAAACGCTGAAAGTTCATTGATCAGACTTCTGTGCCCTTGGCTTCGAAACATAAGCCACGGAGGCGGTTAAGCTCTTTAAAATGAAATACAAAAGAATCAATTAAGCACTTAAATTATTATAAAAATAGTGGTTACTATCTATATATAAAAAGACCTAATTCAACGAATATAATAAGTGTATTTATATTACGTATTATGGCGTACAAACTTATGTTAAAAAATTTTAGTTTGGGTTTTGAAAATAAACTAGGGAACACTAAAAGTGGTTCGCGCGCCCTTTGTTTACAAGTGACGCATGACTCGAGTCCAATGCAATCTATAACCGCGGAGTCGTTTACCTTCCGCGCGGCGAGACGGCCGCCATGTGCGTAGATGCGTAAGAGCAGCGGCTCATGTGCCCGTGCCGCCTGCGCAGCGTCCCGGAGCGGCGCGCACACGATGCCGCGCTGCCTGGCACAGGCCACGCTACTCGTGCTGTCCATCTCCTCGGCTGCAGCCTGGCGACCTCACTCAGACTCCCTAGTCTTTTCTGTGAACCACGTGCGATCACCCAGACATGTCCACAATAACATACACCATCTGCATTTACTAGGATGGCATCTTGAACTTCAAGAGAATAGAGCCATACGCTCCCCTTATTATAACGAGTGCAAGTTCTATAGGGGACGAGTGCTTTACGAAGAAGAGTCGGCTGCAACTGTGACAGAATGTGGAGGCCAGTTGTATGGCTTGTTACAAGTGGATGGCGAGGGTTTCGTTCTTCAACCGACTCGGTCTGACGGTAGCCACGTTCTGAGGAGACGCGACGTCGTGCTGTCAGAGCGCCCGACCGCGTACAACCTAACTGGTGATACAGTAACCGACCTTGACATTGACTTCGAAGATGACATACCATTGCCTACGATGCACGTGCGCCCGCGACACAGTGACCATTCGGACGTAGAGCACTTCAGAAATGCGCTTCCTGTGTCAAGACCGGTGTCAGGTGTGTCAGGCGGACCGTGTGTAGTTGTTAAAATGCTGTGCAAAAATGCATTGTTTCATTTGTTGCAGGCGCAAAGGGTCTATGGCTGGAATTGGCTATTGTGGCCGATCACACAATGGTCAAATTCCACGGCAAGGAACGCGTGAAACATTATATCCTCGCTATAATGAATATTGTAAGTACATACACCAGAGATTTCAATAGTTGAGTGCAAAGCAATAACACAATTATGTAACACTTTAAAGGTTAGTGCCATCTTCAATGACCAGTCCCTGGAATCAAATATGACTCTCGTTATCAACAAATTGTTTCTCTACGAAGAAAAGGATTCCGTTATAAAATATGGAAATGTTAAGAAATCGCTGGAGGCCGTGAATAAATGGAATTACCGACATCTCATGAAATTGCCCGCAGGTATGAACATTACATTAGCTGTCTCATTTTTAGTAAAAATATTTTTTTTACTCGTGCATAGAGGTATCGTTTCGAGATTCGTTGATTCTTCTACTGAATTATTATTTTACAAGTACATCACATGAAATCGTTTTTTTTTTTAATTTTATAAAAGATATAATTTTATTTAAACATAAATATAACGAGCGGAATACGTCAAAGCTTTTATTTGTCAGTGTTGTTATTATCTACTAGGGATACGCCAAAATTAATCAATATATCATTAATTGTGACATAATTTGTAACTTATCAAAACGAAATTATTGCAATACATTACAGTATTTTTTACAGAAACTGATATTACGTTTACAGTAAATAATATTACTTATATATTGGTATCTAATCACGTATTCTCGATATAATTTTATTGTCTTATTGCTTCTATTGATTTGATTCATTGAGCTCTATTACTGTGACATAGTATACCAAACGTGATATTGTAAGTTATTGGTTAACTTAGCATACAGTTGGGCACACTCAACTCTTGACACTCTTATCTCGTGAAAAAAAAACAGAAGCGTGTGCACCATATGAAAAGTTCCTTTATTTATCATTTGTATGACAATTCATTTTGACTTTGATTTTATAATGTTCAAATATTGACTACAACATTATTTTTATGAAAAGAGGGTTATCTAAAGACGGGTCTTCCCTTTCCACGCTTCAGTATAGTCAAATAAAGGACAATTTCAGATAGTACGGGTTGGGATGCGACAATTTGGCTTACTCGTGCGCAGTTGGGAGGGCCGTCGGGTTTCGCGCCAGTAGCGGGTGTTTGTACAAGAACGAGATCGGCAGCTATAGACCGAGATGAGGGCTTGACTAGTGCTTTTGTCATCGCACACGAATTGGGACATCTGTAAGTAGATAACAAATAATAAATAATCTGTTGTAATATAGAGGCATTTGAAAACATTAATATTTTTTCACATGTTATTGCACATGAAGGCACTATATAATTTAAAACTAAATTTAAATTTTTTTCAATTTATTTTCGTCCTGCCCGAGTCGAAAATTTTTTTATTATTACACTCTTCAATTTCCAATGTTCTGGAGTTCAAAGTAAGTGAAGAGCTTTTAAAAATATTTTCTTTATTTTTGGACACTTAAATCTGGTTTCCCCCTCGTTCACACTCGAACTATATCTAGTTACTACATTTCCTCCACGCTTTATTGAGCTCAGCTGTTGACATGGCATCCTGTTTACATTCGTTTGCGTTTTAATGCACGATACACGTACAGACTGTGCAAATCAATTTAATAATTGTAACTCGTTGATTTGAATTATTACCTAGAGGCGGTTACATAAGATTATAACGTAAAAAAATACATAGATGGCATATTTTATCAAAATTTGTTAGAGGTTGGGCGTAAAAGTGCATCAATCAAACACAAGAATTCATGAATTCTTTGCGTTATATTAGTAGAATGATGCATGATAGATATCCATAAATATTATATGGCTTATTATTATTATTGATTGGTTTAAAGTTTAATTTAAATTGTTTAAGTGGTTTTTGCATATGGAGTACAAACATACATACATCCGAAATACTGTCTTTAGTTTATACGAGTAGTACACATTTCAATAAAACACTTAAACGGTTTAAAACGCGATATATATTAGTTAAACTTATTTGAAAATAATTTTAACTACGGCCCGACGGTTTTTCAGTCGCCACGTGACCAAAGCATCCGAAACGACGAGCCGTAGTTTAAATATTTTTTAAACAAGTTTAATTAATATATATCGCATTTTAAACCGTTAAACTGTTTGATTTAAATCCACACATCTTCACAAAAATGTGTATTTATTAGGAACTTCCTATTAAAATGCTATTTATAACTATTTTATCCTTAAACTATATTATCGTAATAATTATTTTTCATGTCTTAGACAATGTTAAAATTTCTTGTGTTCAGGTGTCGATTTTCAGCAAAGTTCGTAATTAATAATGTTGCAATAACTAATATCATTCATGCATAGATTTCGTTCCGGGAAATGTTATGTCACAGATTACTAAGAACAGTTGGCCCGTACACGAACTGTTATCTACTTATTATAATTGTTGATAACATAGGGTTCCACTATAACGTACTTGCAGTACTGTAGTCTGAATTCATAATTGTTATATTTCATCTAATATATTTTAATGATGCAAATAAAAAACATATATACTTCTTAATAACAAAAAATTTACGGCTACAAACGAGACACACTCGCTCAATTGAAAAACGACGTGCACAGTTGCTCGTGGTTTCGAATCCCGTTTGTGTACATACACTTTCCGACGCAAAATAATTTTCCAAGTTATAAGTAGATAATGAACCTGTTAGAGACAGAGTGACCTAATAACAAAAAAGACATGATTTTCAAGGAGGAAAATAAAACTGCTCTTGTAAAAATACAAATTAGTAAAAAAAAAGCAGTTAGGTTACTCTGGCCCTAGTGGTATCATATTATTCATACCTACGATGTCTGTAATTTACGCGTTTTGTACAAGTTAAACAAAATATTTTTAACAATATCAAACGCGAAATAAACTTTTCTATAACTACGATTCCTCAGAATTACGGCTGTTGTAAAGTTAAGATAAATAAAAATAAGGTAATGTTAAAGCCAAAATCACGATTTCGGCTTTGGAAACTGCTAGAACGTAGAAGTTGCAGTCAAGAATTCGTGTTGCGTTTAATTAGACTTCAATTCGCCCGTCCGTACTTGTAATTAGTTGCTCTCAGCGCTTCTAGTGGTTATTAAGTAACGGCTGTTCGACATGAATCGAGTATCGTTTCGAGCAATTTCAGTTTTAATTATGGGAATTGGGATTGAAGTAATTGGCTCTTTCGGCTTCCTGGTGTGCTTTTTAGGGTTCCGTATGCGGACGATAGAGCAAGACTTTTAGATAAAAATATGTCAGTTAAAGTTATTTGGCTACTGCGAAGTATACAATACGTCAGGCCATAATGAAATTATATTTCTCAAATAAGTTACTACAAACTAATACTATACAACGCGTTTTAAACCGTTACAATGTTTTCTTTTAATGTGTACTACTCGCGTTAACTACAGACAGTATTTGAGCAAGACTTTCTTGAATCTCATGAATCGTGTTGTTTTAAATTTCAAAGATAATGCTGTAGTAATCACTTGAAACGGCTTTCATATTTTAATTAAACGCGATTACAAATTTTTATAGATGTACGGAACCCATCTACTTGTAGTCCGATTATAGCAGAACAGCAATAATATTAAGAAGGAACAAAAGCCGTTTTAAAATTAATGAATTACAGTCAGCAGAGACCTCTCCGCGGGGCCCCCCCTGAGTTTTAACTAATACTTCAGAAACATTTATTATTAATAGTAATATTAATGTCGAATAACGAATTTATTTAGCAGAACTTATTGTATATTATACCCAAACCGATTTTTAGATTGATATGTCTGAATTAAATCACAGCCCTATTTATATTTTATTTCGAATATACGATTTAACTATATTAGACTATCATGACCCAATTTCTGACTACGGAACTCATCTATTTCTGAAGCGTTTGATCTAAGATAGGCAAGGTTATATTTATGTCAGACTCTTGAAAGTGTAGATGGACACAAACACTTGGAAATTTATATTTTGCACGCTTTAAACCACATTAAAGTATATAAGACATGTTGGAAAATATGGCGGGACTTGAGGCCAGTCAGCATTTTACATGTTAGACTGCAGAATGTCAGTCCTTCAAGATCTATGTTCATTGAATTCATATTTACTCTGTAAACCTGTTCGAGTTTCCTTAGTGTTTTATATGTTTTTGAGTTATCGGTACACACAAGTAACAACCCAGCATAACGCGACGTTAAAACACATTACGATAACGATCGACTTCTCCTTTCTCGCGAATGAAACATATTGCAGGGTTTGAACGCATGACCTTCCGCTTAGCTTTACTTTTTATCACTGAGCCATGGTTGCGGCGCTGCGACAATTATACCCGATTAATTAAGATTATATCAAGTTGTCTTATTTCATCTAAACATAGAAAAAACCTGTGTTATCCTATGATATTCATTAGACGTTTTCAACTTCTTGTAAAAATAATCAAAAACTTGATACGATATATACATCAATACTTTCTCTAATATTTCCCACGTCCACTTCGCCCTTAGCAAAGTTAAATCAGCCAAATACACTCGAAACAAAGATGTAATGGTAATTCTATTCGACTTCGCCAGACTTTCCTCGTTTTATGTTTATTTTATGCTGACCCAAAACATTCAAGCCATGTCAAAGGCCTAACAATGAGAAAAATTCGATGTCGTAAAAATAAGAATCTGCTGAATCCACCGCGTGTAGGCGTTCTTAATAGAATTCCTCTAAAAAGGGTAGGTAAATGAAATAGTAAGTTATTTCTATGAGCAAAGTCCTACTATGGAAAATGTAGGTATAAAAAATATATACCTACATTTTTATCTAGAGTTTGCAAACTATAGTAATACATTATGGTATTTTTTATTATAATTTCGGAATCGTAATATTGTCAATCACACCGCCATTTTGGTAAAATGGCGCCGATAATCCAGTTGTTGTAAAAATAAATTGTACATAGGTACTAACTGTAGTTCACGCGAGTAGTAGGTACACATTTGAAAACCCTTTAAAGGTTTAAAACGCGATGTATATTACTAACTAATATTAGTTTAAAAGACGATATATATATATATATATATATATATAAGATACGTTTTAAACCGTTAAAATGTTTTATTTAAATGTATACTACTCGCGTAAACTACAGACAGGATTTACATAACCAGTACGGGTCGGAACAACTAATATATATCGCGTTTTAAACTGTTAAAGTGTTTTATTTAAAATAAATTGTGATCAAATTAAGTGGAGAAAATGATCTGTTAATTAATAACAAATGTGTTTTCAGACACATCAGTAGGCTCTTGCAAGGAAAAGATATCGAAACTTTGTTATAGATTCTTATTCTACAAAATATCAGAATCTTGTTGAGAATAATTTTTATTTAAATTATAGGTTTAATATAGCAAAGCTAAAATGTGAAAACAGCACACCGAAATCTATAAATTTTCAAATAACAATCGCAAACTACCGGAACCTTCCATGTAAAATTATAAACTTATTGGAGTAGTATTAGAAAATTAATTACGGCATGAACGTAACGAAACTATTTCCAAGCATATTACCACAGGGTAATAGTTTATGTAACAACAGACATTACCCACATTTTATTACAGATAGGTTATTACCCCTTTTCCCTGCACGCGAAACTAGCACCTAATATGTTGGATATAAAATTAAAATTAACATAGCCGTTCCTAACTTCGGTCATTCATTGTTCGTTGGTAATTACTAATTTGCTTCATTACCCTGTAATTAATTCGCCGAAAGAAGTCTTGTAATGAAAGTACTGATTAGCTTTTGGGATAATTTATTAGATACCAATGCCCCTTGCAGCTTTGCTATAAGTTGTTAGCTTTAAGCGTAAGAAGTCCTGGGTTTATGCTTAAGTCGCTGTTATAATTCCAGTCGTACACACTTAATTAAATATTTTACAATATTATATGGGCTTGATCTAATGTCAAACCTTCGTTCCGTTATAAGTAACGATGCAGTTTAACAGCAAGTTCAAAAGATAACCAGAGCGAAGCGAACAATGTGAATCTATTATTACTGATAAAAATAGTTTTTAGACAACATATTGTAGTGGTCAATAGAATAATTATTTCGTTCGCGATAAAGTCAGAAAGAATCGTCTTTATATCGTCGTTGCTATTGCATATGTACGGTCATAAAATTTTAAGTTTGACAAGAAAAATATAATTTTAATTAAGCGAAACAAACAAAGGAGAAGTTGATTGGGCATTTACAATTAAGCTTCTGAAGAGTTAAACCCATACCGGGTTTAAGCAAAGCTTAATTAAAACCTTTGTCTCGCCTTTACGAGAACTCAAATAAAATTCAAGAATTCCTACCCGTTAACGAAGACGTACATAGACGAAAATTTAATGCAATGAACAGTACCCTTGTAATAGCAAGGTTATTCAAGAGCATGTAAAGGTTATTTAAATACAACACTTTAAGCGGTTTAAAACGCGAAATGTATTAGTTTAACTTAGTTGTTTTTGAAAAAGAAATGCATTAGATTGACATATAATTTAACAGCAGTGCTTGTCAATCCTATATTTTTATATAGTCATCGGATTAGTTTGCAAAGATCAGTTCTGTTACAAATGTTGTATGTAAGTATTATGATACAACAAACGGTTAGGTTAGGCCCGTCGAGTATAGTTAACATTGAACCAATTTTAAAAAGAGATATAATATTCTATCGCAGATATTTTGTCGTCTCCCACTCTAAAACATATATCGTTATAATAGAAAACAGACAGACAGTATTTAACATATATCGTCGTTTCTTTGTTATATATGAATTATAAACTCTATAAATGATAATTCAGGCAAATGTAAAATTCTTTATTCAACTGTAATAACAATAGTAACACATGACAAATTGTATACTAGTAAAATACTGTAACTAAGGGCAGTGGTGGGCCATTAATTTAAATAACCTAATAGATGTAACAGTTTAGAGTAATATCTAAAAGCCACTTCGTAAAAGCAATTATCAACTGATGTTATCTTAGGAACACTGTGCGAACCGTCCACGTTGAGTTTATAGCACCTATTTAGAGGCCAGACATCTCACAGCGGTCCCGTTTATAAACAGCTTACAGTGACACGCGGTAGTCCAGATTAAAATAGAGTTCAATGTCAAAGCGATGCCTCAATCAATCCTTTTAAAGTTTAACAGATTATCACGAGCTTCACTGAAACTGCTTTTTGTCAAAACTTTGTTCATCAACTAACGTTGGACCTTAATTGGCTGAATCTTGTTACTTTTGCTTTGATTGCGTCGTAGTTTACAAACGTAATTTGCTTTACTTCTTTGTGACGCCCTGGGTTATAGTCTATGATGATGGTGATTCTTTTAAGTTTTCACCTGAAAATTCACCAGTGTTAATATCAATTAATACATGGGTAGTTGGTCTTAATGGATTGGTTGTCTTGGGTAGAGTCCAACATGTTTGTCAATTTATATTTTCTCTGAAACATGTCGGTTGTCAACGGCGAAATATCGACATTCCGTCCGGGTCACAGATGAAGAAGGCGTAAAGTTTATCGGTTATTCGGTTTCAGTCTGTAGACTTCCAAATATCCAAAGCCAAAATAGGCCGACAGCACATCGTGCCAAGATGTTATATGGATGGAGTACTTAACCTTTCATTAACTGAATCCCATGCTTACTAAACCAAGCCGATCGTTAAAGATATACGTATACGTGTAGGGATATAGGTCTTCCTGATTCTTTCATTCTTATATAATCTTGGAATAGTTTTTTAAGCTATTGAGCTTATCAGCAGAGAGAACTCTGAAATTCGTGATTTTAGCAGCAGAAACTTAAATCATTTTCGTCCACATTACAATATGTACTTCGTGTTAATTATGATCTGTGGTTATGCAAGTGAATATTACATACAATACTTTCTAGCCGTTATTTCAGAAGTTGTAGTTAGCTTTTAACTGTAAAAAACTATCAATGTATTCATTATTTAATCATTCTTATAACTTCTTTTGGTCCTAGAATAATGTTTGCCTGAAGCTCTTGTAAAAGTAACAGTCTACCAAAAAGTATAAGAAACAATTTACCTACAATATGCTTACAGTAACATATTAGTTATTTTTGTTACCGAATTATTCAATTTATAGAAAGTATAATCGCGTTTTGGTATCAAGATGTGGATTTTTAATAATCCAAAAAAGGTGGCCAGTGCATCTTGGTTAGATGTTCAATGGCGGGGTATTTCATCTTTCATTAAGTGAATCCAATGCTGTCCACCTTTATCATGAAGAAAAACGTTTATATGGGAGCTCGCTAAGTAGTGTATGAAAATATTCCACGTCCCGAACACATTAGGAATTCCTACTGGGATCGCGTATATTTTTATAAGACGATGATTGAGAGCACTCGACTCTGAAACGTCCTAATTGACGCTGCCTGTTACGAATAAGCCCTCTTCAAAGATACCGCGTACTTGCCGAGATAAAACTTCGGAAGTCTATTTACACAATCTGCACGAAGAACAAATATAGGAGTTTGTATTAAAATTTACCTAAGTATACGGTGAAAAATGTTGTCAAACTCGAACATTTTATTGTTCAGCATTGTGTTACTGGAATCTTAGTGACAATGTCAGTCCCTTAAAAAATAATTTAAACTGTATGTGACATGAAATTATATATTGATTTAAGGTAATTTTAATTTAAATAATACTTAATATACCTGTTTGTTAAAAATATATTAAAATAATGATTATAAATTAAATATTGATTATAACTTATTACAACATTCAATTATATAATTATCCTCATTTACCGATATATTTTATTTTACATTAAGTTTTATAATGTTTAATCATCTATGAAACATATAGATTATGATTACCGTTAGACAGATTTAGATAGGACGACTGATTGAAATGCTTTCACTCTCATCGGCTCCGACCACGGGAAATGAGTTTCGGATTACTTACGCGACTCCCTACTATTGAAACAAAATGTGCCCGAGAAAGAAGTCGGTGTCCTTTTGTTTTGGTTTGATTAAAACCGAGCTTTTTATTATTATTTTCAAAGCAGGCGATCCAGTTTTAGCTTTGTTTTTAGTTTTTTGCCAGCTGTATATATATATTAACTGTGTCCATGACTTTGTCCGCGTAGGATTATGATTTTGGACATAAACATTGTTTTTCAAACCCCCTCATCTTTTAAATATTTCAAATTATAGCTTTTACCTACGCCGTTGTTTGTGTCCCGTCGTTCTTTCGAGTTAAAAGATAGACATATTAAGAAAGTCTTTAGATAAGTTAAAGAAGAATCATTATTTCATTCATATTTTGTGAGTATCTTAAACCGTTTTCGTAGTGCACGCAACGAAAACCCATAATGATTTTTCCTTGTTTTTCCACATTTCCCATTGTTTCTTTGCTCCTATTGGTTCTGATGATGTTTTGTAACATAAAGCTGTCCCCGATAAATGTTATAACCAAATCTTCAGCCTATTACTATAGATATATAATATGCTTTGAAGCACAAAGTAGAGAAGAGTTTGCGATTTTCAGAAGTAATAAAGACAGAAAGAGCTAGATACAGGTGAAATAATATAACAAAACATGTTCTTTTCTCGTCTCTTAACTCGTTTAAAATAACGAACTGAAAATAGTATTTATGAAGGAATTTTTAGGTATCATATACACATTGAACGCCTTTAAAACCTATAATAGGTCTATTAACTAACCAGTTATTTAATATTAAAGTTAGTTTTCGAGTCACCTATCTCGCTAGATTTCTGTTTGCCATTAGTAAAATTACACAGCTATAAACATTATAAGAAATATTTTTACGATTATGGTAACCGAGATCATGGTGAGATAGTAATATAAAAGTATTTTTATAGGAGCTATAAAGCGGCGCCCTTTAAGATTTGGAATCATGAAGAAATGTACTCTTTTATTGAGCCAGATTGTTTGTAATACTCTTGACTATAAGCTATAATAATGCTGTATTACGAGATTAATTTAAATGTCCCACATAGCTTGACTGAAACTTTAAAACAATTTTTTATGTAGTGAAAAAAAAAATCCTAATTTTTCTGCTTCTCAGTACATATCAACCATAAATATTTATACTAACAACTCTAAAGATCAGTCTTAATTTTCTAAAAGAATTAGTTTTAATTCATGCATGCTATTTTTTCACAATATTTCATACATAGGTTTATTATTAATTAAATCAAGGGCACTAGTAATGGTTCTTAATCGTGTACACAAAAGATCTTATTTAATCATAATTCTACATGAATTTAATAATTAGAAAAAGCATTTTATTCAACTTCAGCTAAGCAGTCGCCATTAAATATAAATCCTAGCAACTGCATTGGTTAATAAGAGCCAAAGAATATTTTATATCCACTACATCCAGATATTTTAACAGCATCTTTTTTCAGCCTAGGCTTAACCCACGACGGTAACGGCCAATGTGAGACTGAAGGTCTGAAAGGATCAGTCATGGCCCCAACAGTACTAGCAACTCTTCACAATTATGCCTGGTCATCCTGCTCCAGACAACAATTTCACGAGAAGTCCGAGTGAGTATGATGTCATCATGATATCATATAATGGTCCACTCCCGATTATAAGTCCGATATATTTTTGGACGGTAAAAAACTCATTGGAGTTAAGAGCCACTTTAATATGTAGCTAATTCATAACAGATTGAACTTGGTAATTTAAAACGAAGAAAACGTGGACTGCATTATGCTTGGAATAAATGTTCAAACATGTTGTCTCATGATATCATTGTTTTTCGGGCTGTTCATCACATAGTTCTTCGAGCAAGTAGGTCAAACAACATCTCCTAATGATGCCAAACTCTTCTGAATATCTCCTTATTTACGTCGGCCGAACAGCCAGCAAAACAATGATATGCTGAAGGCCGTGAAAGCCTTAGAAACTTTCTGTTGTTTAGATATTAAGTTCGTATATCAACATACCGTGTCCTATTAAAAACGCTTTATTTACTGTTTTATTATGAGTTATCTTACTTTAGGAACTGGTGGTGCCTTCAGCAGCGTAGCCAAGATGATGGCGTGGTGCTGGGCGGCGCTAAAGAACTATCGAACTATGTTTTCACTATGGACGAGCAGTGCCGCACTGAGTTCGGTGACGGGTATGTTTTTTTTACGATAGAGGAATACAGACAAACATGGGGACCACTCGATGATAGGTGAAATAGTAGTAGAGATCTAAATAAAGCACTTTTGAAATAAGAATAAAACAGCAGCCGAAGCGTCAAATGGTTGTTAAAAATAAGTTAACTTTAAAACTTCGCGTACCCAATCGTTAAAACTGTTTTATTCAAACATAAATTTATCATCAATGATATATATAGTATTCAATTAAGTGTATATTACAAAGTACAAGAGCATATATTAATATCATTGAAATTACGGAAAATGTATTCGACTCTGCGTAAACTCTATTGTAAAAGGAAAAAGGATATAATTGAACGTTACATTTGTGAAAACATTTGCATTTCATCAAACGAACATTTTGTGTACTTATCTATTCATGATCACAAACAGGTATTCTGTAAGTACTGCTGGCAATGATTGATAGGCCTCCAAATTTCCGACGTCATTCTACGAATTCGCAGCAATTTACAAAATCAATTTGTGTGAGTGACTAATACAACCGCGTTGCCCCTACTCTCATTCTAAACGCCAGTAAACGAAGAAAACGTGTTCAAATCATAATATTTACTTACTTTCTTGTATATTATGAATTCGTGTGTTTATTATTTTCGGATGTGTAACTGCTTTTTGCGTCGCATTTACAATTTGCATGTTTCAACTATTTTTACATTGTCTTTTGCGTCACTCAAACTTACAATGCTGTCTTTTTAACTTTAAGTATTTTTATATAACAAGAATTTAGAATTGAATGCATTTTAATTCAGTTTTACGTATTATATGTTAGCGTTATGATTCTTTTCAAATCTAATTTATTTTAATAAAGAGTTGACTATGTTGCGCCATACTGAGCTATAGATCAACAGCTGCACTTAGTTCTTTTAATTGTATTCGATTTATAGACAAATATTTTTTATTGCTTAATTGTGTTACTTTATTTTTTTATTTATTTATAGCACCTCAAGAAACAAATCTTAAATTTCAAACATCAAAGCAAAATATAATTCCATTGCTTGACTCTATCCTAGCTATAGCCTCAATCAGATTAACGTCAAACTTCTAAATAATTCTATAAAGTATCCACGTGCTAGAATTTAACACGTGGAAGCTCCTTGCGATAAGTTATGACTCTCTTTATGTCACAAACGTTAACCGTAAAACGTCGTTACGGCAAACACTTTTAAGCGGTTCGTTTTATTCGAAACTTTTCTAATTTGGCCAAAGCGCTGTGTAATTAACAAAGCACTAATTTCATCCTGTTCGACTTTAGATGTACTAAATAATTCTGGATTCAAAAAGTTTTGACGTTACCACAAATTTACTCCAATTAAAGCCCAAGATTCGTGTAAGAATTCATCGCGCAACTCTTCATTTCCTTTCAAAGGAAGATGGGTTGTCATGTTCGTACGTGCTTCGAGAGTCCCGTTTTGATGTATATCGGAAATAATTAAAAACATTCAGTATTTTTAAATGAAAAAGACAATTTGAGAATTAGTTCTTTAATTTTCTATAGCTAATATTAAGCAATTAATAATATTAAGTGAAGACCGAATATTAAAAGCCAATGAATTGACAGCACATCTTGTTTGATATATGGCTCATTCTTCATTCTGTCTATCCTCCTCTTCATTAAAAAAAATGATCAGTGAATCTCTTGGAAATTAACTCATCATTGGAAATTGTCAACTACTGTAGATAGAGACTGTAGCTGTAACTTTCATTTACGGTAACGAAGTTTGAGTTATCCGTTCTCAAGTATTCATAAGAAGAAAATTATTTTCAATTTAATTCTCCTTCAATGTAATAAGGAAAATGCCTGTGTTTGTCAATGTTATACAACCTTCATGTTATTAAGAACTCTTTTATTATGAGGTAAACTGTTGAAATATTCTCCCTAAAGGTATTTGATGGTTCTAGAGATTCAAGAAGATCTTCAGAGCGGATCGTTGAATTATAACGATTACTGTCACACACATATTATATAGCAAGTTGTGGCTTTAAATGCTGTTGGTTAGACATTTCACAAATAATATGAATTGTTTTTTCATTAGCAGGATAAACAGTAGATAGTATGTAATAGTAATTGGTACAAATATAATACAGGTGTTTTTTTTTTTTGTTTTCAAAACATTATGAAATAATTTGTAGTAAATTGTGTCAAAACGGTTCCAGTGCTCTTTACTGTTTCAGTGGTTAGGAAATATATAATTTGATACAAGTACATAATATATCGTTTCAAATGATTCGCTATTCGCAAAACGAAGAGTGTGATTTTGTCAATATAATTTGATTTGCTTCATGAAGTTGACTAGTAGACGATAATCTTTTCTGACGTTTTTATTAACGAGATATATACTTCGTAAGATACAAATCGACTTCTTCAATCTAATCTATCTTTATTTTAAAATAAATAAATATTTTATAATATGATCGGATAAAAAAAATCAATCGAAGAGTTACAATAAACTATTATCTCTAAAAATATATTATAAATACAATATAATGTTTAAATAAAACACTTTAACGGTTTAAAACGCGATATATTAGTTAAACTTATTTGAGAATGAAAAATCATTCTTTTTATTATTCATTCAATCAACTTCGGCCCGACGTTTCGGATGCTTTGCAGCAGCCGTGGTCACGGGAAGACTAAAGATGGAGGATGTCTCTGACGTCAAAGTAAAAAATTGCTACGCTAGCGCCATCTTTTACAGCGCCATATTTAGCAATTTTTTACTTTAACGTCAGAGCCATCCTCCATCTTTAGTCTCCCCGTGACCACGGCTGCTGCCTTGCGTGGTAATCTTAAAAGACGCGTTGCAAACATTATTTAAAGAAGAATCCTTCTACATACATATTTTTTAGTTTCTGAATCCATTTTCGCAGCGCTCGCAACGAAAGCTCTCAAAGATAGATACACAGTCCAGACTTGAAACCAGACCAGACGGCTTGGCATATATACGAATTGCAGATTTTTATTTTTACTGTTTGTTTATTATATAATCTATATATTTGTGAACGTCTCTTTAATTAGAATAATGCACATCTTTCTCTTAAATTAATATTATTATTACCTTACTATTATTGCTGCAATGAATTATTTAGGGTTCATAATGCATAAAAACGACGATAAAACTCTCGATCAACGATAGTTAATAAATTGTGCAAAGATCAAAGGTGCAGAATTGAATACGTAAATCATTCGCTTATCGGAGTTTATGGCTCGTGAACACTCGCTCTGACCGAGCCCCGCTACGTCTGCTTTGTACTGAACACTTTATGTCTAATGAGACCTTTTATCAATGATTTATTCGAAATCGTATAGTATATGAATTCAAATTTGACTATAACAACATTAAAATATTATATTTCAATATTTGCTTAGCATCCGACGGTGCTAAGCAGTGGGTGTAGGTACAATCTACACAATTAGATTTAAGTTTTATTAAAGTCAGTAGTTTAGTTAAGCATTTAAATAAAATAGACTTTGCAATTCCCCCGTGATCAAAGCCTCTGTAAAGCGTTCAAATCGTCGGGCCGTAGTAAAAATAAATTATAAACAAGTTGTTACAATTACAAATACATAATTTATAGTAATTACAAGTACAATATATTTCTCGTTTTAAACCGTTCAGCGCTTTATTTTTTTTCTCGCTAAATTCCTCTAAAAAATCGATTATCTCGCGTTGCCTGGAAACCAGAGAAAAATTAAACAAATATAGTATCGGTCTTGTATTGGAACTTAAAACGAGGTCTCTCCAAGATGATACAAGCCCTACACACTTGTAAACTGTCATTTTCAACCTTTAAAGATTGAATTAAATTTATCCAAAATAATAATCTTATATATTTGACAGATTAAACTAATTCAACACTGAAGCAATTGTCTCTCGATACTAAACTAATTGTAAATATAGTCTTGCTTTATTATATGTATGGCAGCTAAGTTTTGAGGAATAAATAGAGCATTTTATATTGTACATTTGCGTATTGCGAAATAGAATAGACCCAAAGAACAATAGAACATCTATGTACCCATGAGATACTAGACTATGGGAGATACGCACCATTGCCTCACACGCCTATATACGGAAAGCGCGCCCAATTGTTCAGCATGACTCAGATGAAGCTAACTTGGCAGTAAGGCTGTGGTTAGCTATCAACACCATAGACTGCACGCGATAATTACTTCACCTCAATATAACGAAATGCCACCGCTACAAAATAACGCGGCAAGAGAAGCATTGATAGACGAATGTGTGAACACACATACGTAATCTATCCCAAGCTGCGTATAGTACTTTTTCAAATGATTAAAACTAAGGTGTATATTTCAGAGCATTATAGCAAAGTTGACGAAGAACTAATAAACATAGTTTTTTACGCACCCAAGTATATTTTTCTCGAAACAGCTTCTACGTCAAATTTCTTTCAAGCCAGTTCGAAATTTAAAGAAAACCTTTGATAAGTTACCTTTTTCTAAGATCGTTCCATTTTTAAAGTACATATACGACAAATATTTTTTTATAGTAGCTTATTTGGCTGCTAAACACGACACATATGGATTTTTAATATTGTCGGCCGCTGCTCGACCCGAACAGCAAGTTTGATGTAATTCGAAGAAGCTTGTCAAAATAATGCTTAAATTCCCAGGAATGTTTGAGAAAAAATATACAAGTGAAAGATTTTTCTTCAATAATTATTGCCAAAAAATATAACATAACAAATTAAAAATAAACCTTGAAATTGATGACACATAACTATGGCATTCCGCTAAGCATATTGAGTTACAATGCACTAAAACATATTTTACTTATATTAATAAAGCATTTTTTTTCCACAAAGTAATAGGTCACATGCAACTTGCCTACGACTCAAACATCATCAGCGTTTAAAAGAGACAAAATACAAAAGCGTAGCGCTACAAGTGATCTATAGCCTGAATATAAGACCACAGCTTAAGTCGGGCATAATTACCAAGAACAATGTATGAACTTTGTTATGTTAAGCTACTATCTAACAGACTTGAATGTTAAAAATCAGGTCAGCAGAACTGTAGAAAGAAAATTTCAGTATGCTAAAATCAATGAGATCTTAATCTATTTCCATACATTGGCATACCTATTTTGCTTTACGTCTGTATAACATTAAAAAAAACTTTAACGGTGCAAAACGCGATATATATTGGTTAAACTTATTTTGAAAATTATTTTAACTATGGCCGACTTTTCGGATGTTTGGCGTGGCCGTGGTCACGGGAAGACTCAAATAAGTTTAATTAATATATATAGCGTTGTAAACCGTTAAAGTGTTTTATTTAAATGTGTACTACTCGCGTAAACTACACACAGTTTGTAAAACAATCCAGTTTTATTAATAATAAAAAAAATATTTTTATATTTTTATTTATGTTTAATTGCAATGTAAGATTATTTGGATTAGACCATATAGTTGGATTGATATATTATTTTTTTCTTTATAAGTATTGTTTTATTAGCCTGTAAGAATTGTGTAGCGGCTGTTTCATTAGTTGATAAACGCCAATTATAAAAGTGACTTGCCTAAAAGTAATGACCAATTCATGTAATGTTTGAGTATAATAAGGAGTTAATTTGAATTAATGATGACTTTTAAATTACTTTTTGGAACGAATACCGACGTAAAAGAATAGCAAGGACCTTACTTGATTAATAATTCTTAACGAAACATTGATTAGTAGTATTGGATAAATACCAATGATTAAATACTGTCTATAGTTTACTCGAGTAGTACACATTTAAATAAAACACTTTAACGGTTTAAAACGCGATATATTTTAGTTAAACTTTTTTGAGAATTATTTTCAACTACGGCCCGACGTTTCGGATGCTTTGCAGCAGCCGTGGTCACGGGGAGACTAAAGACGGAGGATGTCTTTGACTAAAAAGTTTAACTAAAATATATCGCGTTTTAAACCGTTAGGGTTTTTTATTTAAATGTTAACTATTCGCGTAAACTACAGACAGTATTTAAACAATTATAAATTAAAAAAGTTACGACTCGGGCAGGACTTGTACTGGCATCCACACCGTGAGTGCTGCTCTAACCAATTGAGCTACAAATTCTACGTCTCCCAAGTTGGGCCAATGGTTAAAGCAACAGCACGAAACACTGTAGATGGCGGTTCAAATTCTGCCCGAGCTGTAATTTTTTCATTTTATAATCGTTTTTTGATTTAAGTATATAGTGCCACATATTATGCAAAAACATGTCAACATGTTAAAGTTTCCAAATATATTTATATTTTTTTTATTTAGATACTAAAGAAAACCAATAATAGTAATGTTCAACAATTTCATAAAAGATCGTGTGTTATATCGAGCATCGTAGTAATATGTACGTTTTGAGTTGTCAGCGGCTAATATAATTGGACGTTCATTTTGCGAATGTGTTTATTGTAAACATGTGCTAATAATAAATGTTCTCAAAATGCCTTTTAAACAGCATTTAACCCAAATTTCATTTATGACACTGATATTTATTAACAGTGTCGTGCCACATTGCATGACATTGACCTACAATATTCATGCACTTGAAAGAAGAAAAATTCTCGATTCTTTAAATAAAACGGTTTAAAATGGAAAATTTATTAGTTAACTCATTTACAATTTTATTTTTACTACAACCGACGTTTCGAAAGACGCAGCCGTGGTTAAAATAAGTAATAAATCGGTAATACAAATTCGCGTTTTAAACCGTCAGTAGTGTTTTAATTAAATGTGTACTATTCACGTAAACTACAGATAATCGACGATTCTTAGTCAATTTTAGATTGAGTACATATGACCTTCTTTTTATTGAAATAATTTCTAAAAATTATCTTTATTTTTATTGTATAGTCTGTTCGAATTTAAAATTACCGTCGCCTCGAATAAAATTCAAATTGTACGTACCAAATTAATGAAAATGTACTGAAGTGTTATTTTTCTTTCAGGTTTTCTATCTGCAAATCCGTAAAAGTGAAATCTCCGTGCGCCAGACTTTGGTGTGCACACCGCTCTATGCCTCACGTTTGTCGCTCCAAGAGGGCTCCGCCTCTTGAAGGAACACCTTGTGGAGTTAACCAAGTGAGTAGACTAAGAAAATGCTATTGGAACTTGATATAAAGATTTTGGAAACTACCATTGCTGACGATGTTCTGCATTATATCAAGTATCACCCAAAAAAGTTCGTATTTAAATTTTCTTTTATAAGAGTCGTTATCGTTTATAAGAGGTTTTATTTTTTTTAGTTAAATGAGTTTTATATGTACTTGGGTAACAATTTGTAGACCTTATACTTGAGTAATTTAATATCAATTTGTTACAATTGTGTTAAAAACACCCTCATTCTTAGTACTTTCAATGAAAGCTTAAATTAATATGGATGAATTGGTGGGCATAAATGACGAACTCCTTGAGTAAGTTATTGAACTGGTATTTTTTATGATAAAAGAGGACAGACAAGCCTAGGATTCACTTGATGGTAAGTGAAATATCCTAGCCATATCTAAACAAGTTGCGCTGTTGACCTATTTTGGTTTTGGATATTCGGACATACACAGACTGTAACCGAAACGCGAATAAACTTCGCGACTATTTGAAACTTCTGGACGAAGACCAACATGTTTCAGAAAAATGATAAAATGTTGACCCATGTCCCGTTGGTTATAAGCTATTGCTACAAATATACCAACAAGCCAGATAGCCTAACACGCAATGCTATTTACGCAATTTTAATAATGTTCGCATTTTCTTCATCTAAGTTATGTTATAGATAGCTTAAGGCATTCTTTATAAATTTTAGTCGTATCTTAGTCTAAAAAAGTAAAGGCTACGTAAATTCCGCGATAATAATTCACACAGATAGAGATAATATACGATTTTAGACTAATACAGAAGTTATCTCCCACCCAAACGATTATGCAGCGGTTTTAGTACACACCGTATATTATAAAAGTTTTGATAAAAGCTCTACTAGATACTGTCTGTAGTTTACGCTCGTAGTACACATTTAAATAAAACACTTGAACGGTTTAAAACGCGATATATATTAGTTAAACCTATTTGAAATTATTTTAATTACGGCCCTACGTTTCCGATGCTTTGCAGCAGCAGTGGTCACAGGGACTACGTAACTAATATTAACACAAAAATAATTATTTCGATCCACGATCAGAATTCGAACCCCCACTGTCAGCAGAAGCACATACAGTTAGACAATGGCAGCACCACGACTGTTTAAAGCTAAGCTAAATCATTTTAATTAATATTGAATATGGCCACACTACAATGTCAGTCGAAATTCCATTAAATGAGCAACAATAAGATTCATACAATGTACGTACATTGTTCTACATTCTATCAACGTCCTTTGCGTCCGTCCTGCGTTCGTGTGTGCGCATAAATTCAATCCTTTATGAATACGTTGAGATGAAATGCGATGCTAAAAGCTTGTGAAAAGACAGTATAAGTATTCACAGTTTGGTTCCGTAGCAAATAATATAGCCAATCTTAGCCCTTTTTTAAACTGATGAAACCCCACTCGGCAAGTGTGTGTTAATCGTATAGCCGACCAGAACCACTAAACACACCACCAGCCCTCTAAGTAGCTTTGATTCCCCTCAAATCTGGGAACACGTTTGTATGCACCAATCTTAGTCTAAAATTACATTATTATAGGTACACAGTGCCTACCTACATAGAAATGTGCAAAAATAACTGAAACGTCGTCTCGGCTCGTCGGTGTAATGGGAGTATAGCTATACTATATAATACTATAATAATCAAAGGGCCGAGTCTTCGATTCCCACTGGACAATTTTCTTATTTATTTTTTTTTGACTTCATGAAATTAGTATATTAAATCACCCATTTATTACTAATTTCCATGGTTGGAAGGTTGGAATATCGATCCTCAGAAGGCACTATATAATTTAAAAATCGAAAATAAATTGATACCGAGTGATGTGTAATTGGTAGAGAACACCGGAAAGTACGATGCTGGTTCATGTCCTCCCAAATAAAATTTTTTAATTTATTTTGATTTTTAAAGAATTTTGGTTTTAAATGTCGACAGCGTATCTAGTGTAGAGGTTATATGGCACCTTTCTTATATTTCACCTTCTATCAAGTGAACCAAAGACCTGTCCTATGTTTATTTACAAGAGCCTACCTAACTTTTTAAAGCTCTTCTTAATTCTTTTGTGGTGCATAATTATTATAGCTACCTATATCTTTTTTGCCTGACGCTGTAAATATACCCTGAGGTATAGAACAGAACAGGGTTATAATCGCAAAGGTTATTAACCAGCTCAGTCTATTCTGCACATCTGAAGAAGAGCACTTATCAAATAAGTGATCAAACGATATGCTCAAGTCGTGTGGAACCCTAAAAGGGGATAAAAGCACAATAATTGTGCATGACGCATGCAGGAGCAATGGTGATTGACAATGATTTATAAACGTCATTATAATTGATGGTTCAATTAACGATTGATTAAGAAATTACTTTAATGATTTTATTAAATGTGTATAATTTATCATAATTTAATCATAACAGCTGGTTGTGTTAACAGTACAAATATTATGATAATATTAATGTACGCACAACATTTTCATAATAGATTTGATATACTTAGACATTTTAGTTATTTGCAATTACTGTTAAACTCGCTTGTTAAGATCCATAACTAAAATATTTGTTGCCTTAAAAGAATTATTTAAAAACTACAACAACATTATGCACATGATGGCAATATATTAATTAAAAATCGATTACAAATTAAAAAAAAATACGACACGCGTAGGACTTTTAACTTTATGAACGATTTTTAATTTACATATTAGTAGATCAAGTAAAAAAATATTACTATTTTGCTAATATCACTCGTAGTTTCAATTGGGCAGGACAAAGAAGTCTCATTAACTTTGAAATTGAAATATATCCGACCCACATATGATAAACGGACATTTTGACACTATTAATTGTACTTAATAATCACTTTTAAAGATTTAGAAATAAATTAAATTTTTGGCCTGACAACATAAACACTTCGAAGATTTACTTGAGTGACCATTTTAGCGGTATATAGCACCCTGCGTATGAGAGGATTTTGTGTTCGCAGTAAGAATGCGCGATTACAAATTTTCAATGACCTAGCATAATCCTGGAAGAACGCCAAAGGTTAATAAGACAAAGGAACAGTCAAAGACACAGTTCTTAGTAAAAGCTCTAAAATACACTATTCACTAAATTAAACTCAGTAGCCAAATATGTAGTTCCTTTGTATCTGCAATCAATCAATATCATCAAGATTTTTTTACTACAAAAATCACGCTGCGACTACCCGTAAAATAGGTATGAGACAATGATTCCTCTTTATGTAATCCAAAAAATTGTCCGGACGAAGTTTCGGTCACAGCTAGACAAATTTGTACATATTATATAAATTATACGTATATATTTATATTCTTATCATTCAATATGATCCTATTAATACTGCTTGTGATAGATTTTTATATTAAGTGAAATTTCGTTTCCCCCCTTGGGGCATGTGGCGAACACATTTCTTTCACTGAACGGTTTTATTTACAAGTTACCGTTGATCAGACTTTTGTGCTCTGCTCGGCGGAAAAAAATCTATTGATTTCTCGGGTTTCGAACCAGGACCTTAACGCTTAACTCAATGCTTGGTAATCGGTAGATTATTACATTAGTGTTTATAGTAATATAGTATTTTAGGCCGTAATTTAAACAACTCGACAACCTTTAAGATCGTACATCATTTTGCAAGGAATATGTAGATTCGGTAGCCATTTTCACCCATTACCATAAGGTAATAAAGTCAAAATCTGTAACGAGTTTACCTTCGCTGCTATAATGGCGCTGATTTCAAGAGATTTTTCTTGTTGCTAAATAAAACTCTGCTGTCGTTTGTGTAAGTCTGATATAGAATTTTAAACAGTAAGAATATTACTTATTTAGGTTTTATATAACCTAAACCATAAATTTGGCAAATTAAGCTAACTATAAAAGTGGATTTTTTAATGTTTCAGCAGTTTTACTTGTAATTGATGAATAGATATATAAGAAAACAGCTAAAAACTCTTACTTAGTCTATAGTTTGCTCATTAATATATACCAAACGGGCAAACTAGTAGTAGGTAGACTTAGTAACTATTAACTTTAACGACACGAGAATTTGGATGTTCACAGCAGCCACGTGAGGAATCAGGTAATACATCAAGATCATCAAAAGACGACTCTTAAAGACGAGTACCAATCATTAATGATTTCTTCTCATAGCCTTTAATATTTTAATGATACCCAAAGTATTTTAATGAAATACTGTTTAAAAGTCTCTGTGGCGACGCCAAGAATGCTGTAATATCCGCCCTTCCTCTCAACTGAACAATAATAATGATGCTCATCGAGCTTATAAAGAAATTCCTTTCCGAGCTACGGTTTAGGGAACTCTTTAAACAAAAACAAAACTAAATCGTTTTGGGACTTTTGCAGAGTTTTGCTTATTGTATATATTCAGTTAACTATTTTCTTCGTTAAATTTAAAATAAAATTATCTTATAAATTGTCGGTTTCGATACCTAATAATTTCAACGTGGTATCCACTTAATAATTTTATTAAAACACTAGCTGATCATCGCTGACATTTTTTTAGATCATTTAAAGAAGAATGATCCTTTCATACAAATCTGTGGCTATCTTGAACCGTTTTCGCAACGCACGCAACGAAAACCCTGAAAGATGAATAATATTCCTGAGATAAACGCGTTTAAACAAACTCATTAGCTTTATAAAACAGAAGAGTTTGGACATTAGATGAAAGGAATTAAAAATTACATTCCGTTAACAAATCACTAATAGACATCGACGGTATGTATTTTATCGTCTATCAAATACTATGATTGGCTGTCCTCATCTTCCATGAAAAATCTTAAGAAAACCCCTGAAAATTAAACTTATAAGAATAATTTATTACGTCATAAAATTACGTATCCACGTTGCGGGTGTAATATAGCCCGGCTTTATTACACCGCTTGGATGCATTTTTCTCATCCCGATAACATGTTTAATGATTTAAAAATCGAAAATAAATTGAAAAAATTTTTTATTCGACACCGCTTCAAGATGCCCAGCCGAAATTTTTTCAATTTATTTTCGATTTTGATAAATTATATAGTGCCTTCATGTGCAATAACATGTGAAAAATATTAATGTTTCAATCGTTTAATGAGTTTCGTAGCTATATATGATATGAATAGGCAAGGCACAGAAGGCAGACCACATGACAAAGACAGAGAACATTTTCTGCCCTATCTTAAATTTTTGTTCATTTTATTAGAAACTTTACGACGAAATTTGGTTTAATTTCCCAATTATCCCAATCTTTACCATAGAAATACATCGTAGACAATTTGCATCAATACATTTCACCAACATTTGAAAAATACCTGAATTGGAATCGAATACAGCTAAATTAGATAAGCCGATTTCGAACTGTCAAAGAAATTTACGATACCGAGCTTCGAAATTCGCCCGAAAATTACAAATAGTCCGTTCTTCTTTTTTGTTCAAGCAGGTTTTTATTAAATTTGATTGATTTAGAAGTTTTAAATAAAACACTTTAACGGTTCAAAACTCGATATATATTATTAAACTTTTTTTCTAAATTATTTAAGCTACGGTCCGACGTTTCGGTTGCTTTACAGCTGTGGTCAGGCTTACTAATATATATCGCGTTTGAAATCGTTAAAATATTTTATTTAAATGTGTACTATAATAGGAATTCAATTTTTTTCCAGTGGTGTGTTGACCGTGTCTGCGAGGCTATGCCGGGGCATGTGATCAGCAATAGAAGTGACAATAAACCGATGCCTGAATGGGGAGACTGGGGTCAATGGAGTGAGTGCAATGCCGATTGTGGATATGGTCTGCGGACAAGAATAAGGCGATGCTGGTATAAAGGGTTGGTTCTTGTTATATTTGTTTTACATCGAATACCTTAGCTCAATGTAAAGAAATAAAAACTTTTAAAATTAATTTAAACTTTAACTAAATATTTAATTATAAAAAAATATACTAATATCATCTTGATATATAATATAAGCGATCCTTTAGTTACAACGTGGCAGATATATTTCCACCATTAATACACAATACTTCGATAATTATACTGATCTATTTTTCTTGAATTTACATTCAAACCATTTACAAGAATACCAATATATAAAATAATGATTATTCATGAATATATTTTGCGATATTCGAATCTAAGACATCTCTCAATTAACGCAACGGTTGGCAATGCGCTTAACTTCAGCATTAAACTACAGAGGTGGCAAAATGTGAAAATACACAAAAAATTAAAGCCATTTGACTAGTATACTTTGTATAATGTATTCTTTATACTCGAATCCACTTTATTGATACAGTCATATGCAGAGATGGTTCTCACGTCTCAGGTGTGCATACCAATTAACTTATGCAGATGTAGAAGAATTCTTTGTGATATTTTATTCTACCTTTAACAAAATCTTACTGCAGAAAGCGTTTAAACGTACCCATTAAATTAAATTACTAAAAACAAGAGCAGGGGTCGGGAAGCCCGATTCTGCGGTTTCGGGGACGTAATTATTCATTCCATCGTTTACAATTTACGTTCCTGTTTTCACTAGAATAATGTTATGAACATTTTAGCTTATTTAATGGAAAGAAATATTAATTTGGCCTGACTGACCGTCGTCAAAGGACTCAACACAAATCTTTTAAGCCTAAAGGCTTTATTTATCGTAAGAAGCAGAGAGAAAAATAAAGCTATAAATATGATAAGTATAGGGCAAGCTTGAAATTACATTGCGCGAAAGGTGTATGGATGCCAATTCAAGTCCTGCCAATTTATAATTGTACAAATCGATTTAAGTAAAGGGCAAAATGTAATAAATATATTTTGTATGAGCATAAAAGCAGTCCTTTTGGGTGTGCCTATCACAGATTAATTATGAAAAGACACAGAGATCTAGTCGGCCATGCTGATTCATTGCTTTTTGAAGGTCTATATCGGAGAGTGCTTGTGATGGAGCCGGGTCTCAAGTGGCTACGTGCTGGTCGGGTCAGGCTTGCGCTGCGACCAGGGATATACGGGCAGATATATGTTTTCGACAAGCCAGCCATCTTATTCCACACTTACACACTGAAGGTAAGTTCATGAGCGATATTTTTGGAGTACGGCTGAAACTGAAAATTGGCTATAGTGGCTTCAAAGAATTTTGAAAAAAGCGTGAGAACCGTATAGGCAAATACTGTCTATAGTTTACGCGAGTAGTACACATTTAAATAAAATACTTTAACGGTTTAAAACGCGATATATTAGTTAAACTCATTTGAAAACGTGGGTGTTTCCCCGTGACAACGGCTGCTGCAAAGCATCCGAAACGTCGAGCCGATGTTAAAAATCATTTTCAAATAAGTTTAACTAATATATCGCGTTTTAAACCGTTAAAGTGTTTTATTTAACCGTATACGTAGCTATACATTCATCATGTATTATACGGTATATAGTTTTTTTTTTAATGACAGAGGAGGACAGACAAGCATAGGGTTCTCTTGATGGGAGATGAAATACCCCAGCCATAAATCATCTCCACAAGATGTGTTGTCGACCTATTTTGGCTTTGGATATTCGGAAATCCACAGCAATAAACTTCGTGACCCGGACGAAGTTTTCGATATGTTTCAGAAAAATTATAAATTAAGAAAAAACATGTTGGTACTGGTGGGGATCGAACCGACGACTTTTAAATTATTAACCATACATGTGACATAAGACCAACGAGCCCAAACGAGTTATATTGGAATGCGAAATAACTATTTTCTTTTATAATTCTTAAACTAAAGAAAGGCAAGTGTCAAATGCGATTATCATCACATTAAAAGTTTGAGTCCAAAGTTGAGTAAATCTAGTTTTTTAACTTTGGCCCTTAATACATATCGACATAAAAAATACCTTCGGGGGAAATTATATGACAAACGTATTTTTGTGTTAGTCACACAATCACACTATAGCAGTCGTTGCTACTTATGTTTTTTTGAGAATCGCCCTCCCATGCGGAAATGTGCCCACTAATCTATCATTAAATTCTCATTCTCGATTAATTCGTATGTCAAAGTTATTTCCTTTGCGAAATGACAGGTTTATCGACACAAAAGTTACATGAACTGACAGCATGTTTCATACAGAAAATATCGTTAGGTAGGTCGTAGGTTTATAGTAATTACACGATTTACAACTATCTAACTTTTTTATTCTGTCTCTGTTACGCTAACTTTTCGTCGTCGTATTTAAGTTGGTATTTAAACTGGTCTGTTGCTGTAAAAATAAGGGAATTAAATTACATCTTACTTACTTACCAATTAAGTTAACATAATTTTTAAATAATTACAGCTTACCATCACTTTACCCATATAAATAAGAAACTTTGAACACAATTATCCTTTTCTAGTTTCCAACACTCTTGTTTATTATCAATGAAATACCCTGCATTCATAGTAGGTACCTATATTAATTATTTCTTAAACTGTCTAACAAACATTCGACCGATTTAGGTTTTTAGCTTAAAACATTAAAAAGAATCCTAAAATTATATATAGGTATTACTAAATTTTATACATGTTATGTATATGTGATAATGAATATTTTTTTTCTAACGCTTGGATTTAGAATTTTAGTCAAATTGAAAAAAAGAAAATAAAAAATTGCTCTTACAATTTTTTTTTAAATTATTCATTTTTTTAGAATCTAAGCACTGCCAGATATGGTGTGTGGACTACGCTGGAGGTGATCCAACCAACTTCGGAATTTTGCCCGACGGAACATCTTGCAGTTACGAAAGACCTTTCGATCTCTGCTTTCAGGTACCAGATTTGCATTGTCTCGTATAATGGGACCATCTAAAGCTAATCTAATCTGATGAGGCATGATAAAACAAGGATATTTTAACAAATACCGAAATATAGTCATAATAAAATATAAATTTTTTTTTATTGTAAAGTATAGCCATATTTCAGTTTTTTTGGATCTCTTCAGGCACAATGATTTCGTTAAAAGCAAATGATAGACACCAGTAAATGTACAATTAATAAAAAAACGTTTAATTACGTTTACATATAAATATTTGTAATAATGTAAATTACAAATTCATCAGGGCACATGTGTAAAAGGACAGTGCAACGCAACCGACCCTACATGCAACTGGTGTCCAGATGGTTACTGCAATAATAATACGCATCTTTACATACGTCATCTGGGAAAAGGTACATGTCTTAATATTCTTATTACTGTTTTATAAACAAATATAGGCGAAATATTTAGCAGTAATGATTGTTTACTCCAAGCTTTACATTTGTTATTAAGATTAAAGAAAACAGTTTTATGTAGTTTGTGAAAACGCTGTGCTGTGAATCAAATACTCAAACATAACGTTTCAATTTTATCCATCAGGTTGGACACGTCTCACTGTGATACCGCACGAAGCGTCCAAGCTTTCAGTACACATCGCTACCCCGGTATCCCTAAACATAGCAATAAGAGAACGCCGGCGAGACAGGCCGATACTAGAATTGAGCAAACACTCTCGGCGCTTCGATATCGAAACCAAAGAGAACAAATACCTTAAATACGATCCCAACGTACCGCAAAATCTACAGATAATAGAGGTCGATAGCAATATAATAGATATAAAAGAAGAGAAATATGGGTACGAGGGGGAGGTGATAGCAGCTGGGGGCTTGGTTAAGTGGAATCAGACTGAAACTGACGTGTTCATTACTTCCGAGTCGAGATTACATTCGGATTTGATGATCATGGTAAGTCATTCGTGGATAAAAAACTATTAATTCTGAGTATAATAATATGATGTCAACCAAGAAATGTAAATATGGAGATATACGAATTTTATCCAAATATTATGCAGTATGACTCTACAGTCTACATCGATACAATTTTTTTTTTATGATGGATGAAGACAGACAAGGTTTACTTGATGGTAGAGTAGATACTTCCCTCTACTATCAACAACTGTTTTGGCTTTGAAAATTCTAAAATCTACAGACTAAATCCGAAACGCGTTTAAACTTCACGGCTATATCATTTATGGGCGATGATTCGTTACCCGAATAGAATTTGAATATTTCTATCGCCCATTTAATGTTCAAATTTCCAAATGAAATTTGGACTTCCGAAAAAATTACAAATTGGTTGGAAAAAATTTGAACCTGGTGGGGATTAAACTCACGGAACACGGATCGCTTAATACTTTTCTCTTATGAAAATTTCGTCTATATAGTACTAATACCTAATATAGTTGATATATACTCCAATATATTTTATCAAATATTCGCTTGCATCTTTAATTAATAATAGAATTCCAAAGGAATCGGTAAAAAGCCTCTACAATACAAGATTTTTACTTAAATACTGTCTGTAGTTTAGTAGTACACATTAAAATAAAATACTTTAACGGTTTAAAACGCGATATATTTTATTTAAGCTTGTTTGAAAATTATTTTTAAGAACGACCCGACGTTTCGGATGCTTTGCAGCAGCCGTGGTCACGGGGCGGGGAGTCGTCCAAAGATCTTTACTTGTTATCAACCATCTTGGGAAGCATTTAGTTCCTCGTTTGTAATCTATTAATCAAAAAGGTACTTAACGAAACAGTTAAACATTAATGAAGTACGCTATACATAATTCCAGAGATCGCTCCAAGTTGCTTAACCTTAAATCTTGAAACTCGAGCCCCGGCATGTCGTGCATAACTTAAATATGAGTTTGTTCAAGTCCAGCTGTTCTTTGTTACAATGTCTAAAGCTGTTCTCTATTAAAATTATTAATTCTTACAAAGTTTCCCTTATGAAATGCAATCGTCGATAGTTTTTGAACTAATTGTATAATAATCAATTGTTTTCACTACAAAAATTTGTTTTAAAAAATTCGTTCCACGCTAATATGCTCTCATTCCATGACGTAGGTCCTATGAAGTCGAAGAAGTGTAAATGTAAGAAGTATATTAAACTTTTTATTCTTTATTTACTAATAAAGAATAAAAGTTTCACACCAATATATTTTAAGATACTGTACTCAGTATCTTAAAATATATATTGGTATTTAATTGTATTTATTATGAATTGTATTACTAAAATAGCTAATACGGCAAACGGGCGTGTAGATAAACTAGAATGTTCTTTGGAACATGCTACCCCATACATTCTTATAAAAGCAATTTTAGTAAAGTCAATGATTGGCAAAAGTCTGAAATCTGTAATAATAGTAAAATGTAATTTGAACGGTCTATAACATAAATAAGCTTTTAAATAAAACACTTTAACGGCTTAAAACGCGATATATTAGTTAAATAAATATATTTACAGCTCGACGATGTCTCCTCGTGACCACGCATGCGAACACGTCGGGCCATAGTTAAAATAATTTTCAAATAAGTTTGACTAATATATATCGCGTTTTCAACCGTTAAACCTGTTTTATTTAAATGTGTACCACTCGCGTAAACTAGAGACAGTATAAATAAGCTTTACATACGGTGAGGTACATATTGACGACTATTTTAATACCATCCCTCGGGAAATAAGCTTGAGATTATAAAAATACCCAACAAAAGGACAGCGTGTGACGGCGAACTAAGGAGCGTGATGAGGGTAGCTCTCTTAATTATTCACAAACACTTTCAGCGCTGAAGTTAATTGCAGGCTCCGCTAGACTTTTAGTACAACGTCGGTTAATGATGCTTTTTAACGTTTACACGGCATTTACTTTGAGATCTTTTAAATATCGTGTTTATATCCTACACAATTTCGATTTGATTAAAGGCGCAGTTAAGATCTATCTCTTTATCTATTCAACAATTTTTTCTTAATTTTCAGACTTTATTAATTCACTTTGTTATAGAATTGTGAAAACTATATTACAGAGTGAAAGAAGATAATTCTAATATAAACAAATATATTTTTTGCATTTCTAGGCAGTACCAGAACAAGCAGTAAGCGAGGATATTATAACAGTAGAAGTGGCGGTCAACTACAGCACCCCCGCTGCGAGGACGCGCCCCATGGAGTATAGGTATGGTTTAGGTGTTAGGCATGACTGTCAGAGATATAACATAGTATATATTGGTATGGGCCAAGTTTAAAGAATAAGAGATTAAATACAAATTATTTGAGAAAGACATGTCACTTATCAGCTGGACGAAGTCGGCACAACCAAAATCGTCGAAATGAGGCGCGCACGAGCTTATGTATATAGAATTGTCACCACGAGTTCTTATCCCCTCATTAATGACGTCATATCAATATTTAAAAGTTTCAAGAATAAATACGAAGGCGTGACTTAGGGCCCTTACTCCTAACGTGACGCAAAAACTTACAAGTGGCAAGTTGTGTATTTTTCCGTTTTTTTCTCTCTGAAGCATGGGCTTGTGGGTATATTAACAGGTAAATACGAATAATGTCTGTACCCTACCAGCCCAAATCTATTCCTTCTTATAGAACTTAATGAAGGGTTCATAAAGTTTGAAGGCCCTCTCATGCTTTACACAATCATCGGCATCGCGTCTTTCATTGAGCTTCAGAGACGGCCATTTCAATCAAATGCTTTCAATTTCCCACTGTTAAAACAGAGTACAACTGAACGAAGAAATTACAAAGTCCTTTACGCTAGAATATTCTTCGCCTCGAGCAAGAAAAATAGTGATCAAACGACTAAGCTTTTACTTTAACTGCGAACTAATTCTCTCGGCCAAACTGCACTGCGAAAACTGTCACAAAACGAGGAATTTCTCGGAAATACCGTTCAAACATCTGAAAGGTTTCATTGGGAAATTGTGGAATATAAAACGGGGAATTGTAAGTGTTTCAGTTGGACTTGGATAAATAGATGTTCTTCTAGCATAAAAATGAAGCTCTAATAATCTAATGTATCTTAGAGTAGCGTGTTGCGTTTGAATTTTGGAAAAATAATAAAAAGTTTTGGTCGGGCGGGGCAAAAACGTATTAACTTGTAAATAAAACGATTTTGACAGGGACACATAAGTTGTCTGTACAAACATTTTACACACGCATTTTAATTTAGTTAAAACACGCGGCGCAGGTAGAACCATACATTTTATGATATATTTTTCTTTAAAATAATATTTTTTTCGGCTATAGCTAAAGCCAATTATAACCTAAAGGTACCAACTTAAAACATACTTTAACTTCGAAGCGATAGCGCAAATCCCCTTCGTAGGAATTTATAATTGAAAGAAAACTACGAAAAGTTTGTGACATCGCTTTCGCAAGTTTTCTCGTATCAACTTTATTCTTTCAGTTGTTTTCGTTACTGAGTTATAGAGATTCATATAACTTCTAAGAGAAATTTATTAGGACGATAGAGGGAACGTATATGTAAATTAGCTAATTATCTTTGCTAAAGTATTACGCCATTTGGCTATAGTACGAGGTCCAGATTCCGGGAAAACGATTATTTTCTGGCACTCCGTTACATACCTAGGAGTAACATCGATCAGTGAAACAGACACAGAAAAGTGTCTGACCCATTATCATATGATAAACAACAACTTGGGGCATCATCATGATGGAAATGACGCTATTTGTTCTTTGTTACACCCTCGGTCGCCCGGGCAAAAAAACCCGCATCGGCTCTTTGACCTTGGTAGGTTCAAACGCTCAGCGACAAAAACTAGGCCGCCGGTTTTGTGCTTACTGTTTGTAACGGTTTTTGCGCGTCTGTCTTTACGCTATCGGTCCTTGTGACTAAAGTTTGTTTTGAAAGATTGTCAAATGTTATATTTTCTATTTTTACTATTAAACGATCTATACAATTTTATCATTAGATCTTTAGATTAGGACTCTGGTCCAGAGCTATGCCGTTTTAAAGCCGTCTTGTATTTACAAAATCTCATACCTCAGAAATTAAAGCTATGACATATGGTTTTTAATATTTGTTTACTTTGCTTATATAATAGAGAATAGAATAAGATATAAAAACACATACTTGCTCATACAAATTTATAATTTTACAGGCCTTTGATGCCGGTATAAACAAAAATATACAAAAAATAGCTGTTTATCTTAAAATAAAAGTAACACTAAGCTAAGTGTATTATATTCTTTTAAAACAAGCAAGAATCATAAAGATAGCATTCACCACTTCTGGGAAATATGAACATTTCTGCAACATTCCAGCTCTCTATAAAATTGCCTAGTTTCTCTGATTTTATTGTTCTACAAACTAAACAATATAAAAATTACAATTATCATACCTTATTGTACATTTAATGGTCATTCCAATAAGGTAGCACACTTTAGCACAATGTAACCTTTTAATCACATACATTCAATCAAACAAAAATTACAAAACTCACTACTGACAACACGTCAACACTGACTGAAGACTGTTATTTTATTATTACATAACTTTTTGTATGGTTTGGATACTCAACTGGGTTGAATATGGCGGGAATTTAACGGAGAAATGAGATAAAATATACAAACTACCTCGAGAGCGATAGAGACGAGTATATTCGACTTATTTGAGTGCGGGGGGGCCATGTCAACGACAGAGTGACACGTACAATTTGCGCACGGGCGCGATGTGTACTAGTAGTCCACGAGTACAATGTATGTTTTAATTTTAGTGTACTACTAGTCGACGTATGCAAGTGAGCGGATATACAGAGAATTACTAGCATCGTCTCACCTACAATGAAGGTAGAAAAGTATAAGAATCTCCGAAAGCTGAATCGGGTTGGCGTATCCATGTTATAAAAAAATACGATGTTATAAAATCCTCATATATTGACTTACTTGACTTAATGTCCCACGTCTCCTAGGTGGGGCTAAGGGCGTCCAAAGCGTTTTACCAATCTAATCAGACCAAATACTTCAAGGTTCTGCCGTAGGCATCAATTGGCGGATCTTTCTGGTTATTTCCGTATTAGAGACGACCTTAACTAATATATATGCAATCTTTTTTTAAAATAAGCTTTTAATGAACATCTAGAATATAACCATTTAAAAAATGTTGCTGAAATTACAACAATGTAAACTCACCCTCACTATGTTGCACTGAAATTGCCAGAACAGCTTTTTAAAATTATATCACGTTAAATTCCAGTTCAGCTCGGAAATATGGCTGCGGAACAATTTTCTTTTACGATATTTCACGAAAGTTCAGAAACAGCAGTCGTATGGGTTCGCAAAAATATTTAGGTCTTCGTTAAATGAGACGAAGACCTAAAATGAAATATGAGAAGAGACTAGTAAAAACAATTTATAACGTGTTTAGAGATGATTGATGATGGAGTAAGCTCTTCGAGGAGGTAACAACATCTCCTGATGATGGCGAAACGCATATCATCTATGTTTGGAGATGGTCTTGACACAACAAATAAGATTTAATAAACAAAACATTTTAGCGGTATAAACCTCGATACATATTTAATTTAATAGTTCAGTTAATTTTCGGTAACGACCACGGCTGTTTTAAACATCTGTTACGTGTGGTCGTACTTAGAAATAAAATTTCTAATAATTTTGCCTTGTAAATAGTTAGAAGTATTTATGTAATAAATATTACTCAAGTTAATATTACATACTAGCTATATCAGCGACTTCGTCCGAGTAGAATAGGTATTTTGGATATTCAAACTTGTTTTTGCAAACCTCCTCTTCTTCTTTATAAGTTTAAGTTATTACCCACGACGTTGGTCGCGGCCCGTCGTTCTTGCAAGTTAATCTTAGAAGATAGACATATAGTGTCTGGGACATATTTTTAGATCATTTAAAATTAATCATTCCTTTTATGGGTATCTTGAACCGTTTTTGCCACATTCTTAATGAATAGTTTTACCCGTTTTTCCACATTTACCTCCTACTTGTCACACCGTGTATGTTTTAGCGTCTATATTCCACAATAAATACTCTACCAACACAAAACTAACTATTCTTTCAATTCGAACTGTTCTTGAGATTAGCGCATTCAAACAAAATTACTAAACTTTGTTCTTTTTATTATTATAAATAATATTTTTTTGGGTGGGAAAAATCTTTTTTTTTTTTCCCCTTTTTTTGTTTTTTTTTTTTTTGCTATAACTGATAGTAGTTATTCGTGGACTAGTTAATAATTATTTTACTGTGATCTTCCCGAAGCACTTCATCTTGTTTTCTTGGACCTTTGGCGCTTAACACGATTAATGGATAATTGCGTTTAGAACTAGGCTACAGAGGTGGTCATAACTTCGTAAAGTAAGACATTAAATACTTTAGCTATTTATTATTACACGGGGATAAAACTAAGTTAAGAGCTTACTGTTTCAGACCAACCCCCTATACAGCAATAAGGTAGTCAACATTTTTGTTCCCTATACAAAAGACAGGATTTGATTTAACAAGATACGCTGTCGACCTGTTTTGATTTTTAATTTGGAAATCCACAGACTGAAACCGAAACGTGATTAGACTAGATTGTTTAAAAATACAAAATGAATTGAAAACATTTTTCGACTCGGGTAGGACTTGAACGATGCTGATGCCGGTTGCCGGAAAATTAATTTTCAATTTATTTTCGATTTTTAAATTATATAGTACTAATAAAAATATGAAAGTTTTTGGACTAGATTGATTAAAAATATTGGACCTGGTGGGAATCGACCCACAAGCCGTCGATAATTAGTTGATTATTGCTACCATTACATCAACTAGCCCGTCAGGTTTCTGAAATGACTACAAGAATAATTTTTAAAATAGATTTTGTACTCCTCCAAAATCGGCCAGCAGCCAGCAGGTAATTGGATGTAGTAGTTTGTCTCCACGCATAACGACTTTATTTAGCACTAACTTAAGTTCAAAGTTGCATCTTTATATATATGCGGAATGAAAAAGACTTGTTTTTAAAACCTAGTTTTAAATATTATGTTATATGGAATTGTCGATTGCTTTCAGTAATTCACTAACCGTACAATTCCCTGCTTTTGCTACTACCTACTATTATAATAAATTCCTCATATATTTCCTTCCTCATCTTGTCTTCTATTCCAGGTGGTCGAGCGATCGTGGACCTTGTTCGGTGTCGTGTGGAGGTGGTTATAGGATGGTAAGACCGCGATGTGGACGCGGACAGCAGTGTGGAACTCCACGTTACGAAAGATGCAACACTCACAAGTAAATCTTACTGAGTTACTATTTTATACTTCTTCATCGTCATATATACACATACGTAAGTCCATCAAAACCTAGTTGCGGCCAAGACTTGTATAGAACTTACTCAAATAATGCGCGCAATTAAAACTCAGTAGTATAATTGAGAACCTTAAAACCAATGACGAAGTTGACGAACAACAATATGCCGCTGCGTGTGATTTATCCCAACAAAATTCCGAGCTCATTAAATGTAATTTTTTCGTATTTATTAAGAAATTATAATAAAAACTTTATGACGTTACAAGCTATAATTTTATATCCACGAAGAGATCCAATTTGAAAACTTGACAACGAGTATACGCGTATCTAAGCTTTAGCAATTAACAGAGGATGATCAAACGCTTGAGCGCCTCAAACTTCTAACACAAAGCAGACACGGGACCTAAGTAAATAAATGGAAAATAACTGCGGGCTCCGAGTACAATATGCTTGCTTTTAATATACGATTTCCCTTTGTTATAGGTGACCTTGTGTGGATATTGCTGGGATATTTTATCATATACGCTTAAACACACGTCTACGTTACATTTGAATATAATGACTTCATATTACTTTGCGTTATAGCTGTGAATGTATCCTTAGCTATTTAATTTAATACCCAGATTTGAGGATATTCTTTCACTTTTGTCGTATTATCTAATTAAGAACCTTTTTCTATGACGATTATTTAATACAGTTTTAACAATTTTAAACTTGAAATATATTGCTTAATAATCTTCAGTTCCCCCCGTGACCACGTCTGCTGCAAAGCATCCGAAATCTCAGGCCATAGTTAGCATTAATTGTAATTAAGTTAATATTTTTCATTTAAAACACTTAAAAATGTTTTTTTTATCGATATATAACGTACATTCGTGCAGACTACAGACAATACTTAAGATTTTGGCCTAAGCCGCCAAATTTTTTTTTATGTTAGAGGTGGACAGAGAAGCATGGGGTGAGTGAAAGTGAAGTGAGTGTACTTGATGGTGAGTCGAAATACTCTAGCCTACTAACTTGGTTGGAATTTCGATATTTCTACCATCTGTTTAATATACAGATTTGCAGACGAAGTCCAACATGTGTCAGAATAGTAATAAACTCGGTGGAGACCGGACCGACGACCCGTTGATTATTACCCATACATTGCTACCATTGCTTTAAAGTAAATTATAACTTACAGAGATGTCGCCATATGTTATTCAAGTCAAAGCGTATATAGCCATGATGAATACCTGTTCAACATACATAGTGGACATGGGTATAATACTGAATCAAGTACGGATCGAGTTACTGTCAGCATAACCACAATTCAGTGACGGCAGAGAGAATGCAATTTGAGTGTGTCACACGGCATTAGACTAGTTAATTGGGCTTGAGCTAAAGCCTTCAGATCCTCAATGGATATTTGGACTAATGGACACTCCATTGAAGTGGAATTGCTTACTGATGGACAATCTACTCCATTACTGATTCGTTTTCAAGATATAGCAACTAATGGGCTCGTTGGTCGTAGGTCGATCCCGATCGGGTCCAAACTTTTTTCTGATAAACTTATATTTTTTTCCAAAACACTTTGGATTTCGTCGGTCGTAGGACTATCGAAAACCCGTCCATAGATAAAAAAAGCCGTGAAGTTTAATCGCGTTTCGATTTCACTCTGTGATTTCTAAATTTCAAAATATGCGCATAAGCAGCGCATCTTGTTTAGATGTTATATGGTCGGGGTTTTCGCGTGCCATTAAGTGAAACCCGTGCTTGTCTGTTCTCCTCTAGCATAAAAGAAAACGACTTGTTCATAGTTTGAGAGATAAAAGTGCAAAACACGGTTTTAGCATTTATTTACTACCCCTGAAAGAAATAATAACTAAATAATGCTTGAAATGTTATTTTTAAATACGTTATAGCTTATAACACGAAACGCTGTAGTCGTAGGTTTGTGTTCCTCCCGTCTCTAAATAGAATATACCAGGAGCTCCTGGGGATAGCGCGCAAACAAACAAACAAAATCTTTAAAGTATTGGTAAATACATATGTCATAAATATTTGACTTGTCTCAATTGATCTACTTTAGTAGCAGACGGTTTGGTGAATTAAAAGTAGCATTATTAATTAGTCTTCCGTTTGATAATATTGAGGTATTGCATGTCTTATGAAATGTTGAGGTTTTACTTTTTTTTCTATTATCAGTTGCTCCTTCAAATGGGTGGGAGCGGGGTGGGAAGAGTGCAGCGCGACCTGCGGGGAGAGCGGGGTACAAGAGAGACAGCTCTTCTGTGTACCTGTTAACGTAAGGTAACGACACCACTTTTAAATCAAAGCCTGACTTCTTGACTATTGTTTTCATTTATTATTAAATGCTTTTTAATAGTAAGATGTACTGTTACTACTACTTGTTTTACTTTCAATGAAACAATTATAACGGTTGAAAATTCGAAACTCTGTGTTAGCCGTAATTACGGTGCTGCAAAGCATTTAAAACGTCCGGCCGTAGTTCAAATAATTTGTAAATTAGTATACTCGTAAACTACAGACGGTATTCTCGCTTTATGTAACTTATGTTAAAAAACTAACTATAACGTGTTGTATGGGTTCGCAATATGTTCATAAAATTTTTAAACCACATTGAAATGAGCGCAGTGAACTAAATCTTTCAACGTCGAAAAATATACGATGCTATGCTTGAACACTGCTTAAACTATCTCAGAGACGCTTGACATTATTTTTAAAAGATCATCTAAAAATACATTCGCTCGATCTTAGACTTGTCTAGAGTTAGGATTGAAGTAAATGAACGTTTAATATAAATTGTTCTCTATGTTTTGCTATTTAACAGCCATCAATTTAATTTTACATGCTTAATGTTATAGATTAATTATATAGCGAACAGTAACGAATATTGGAAATTAATATAATGTGTTTTAGCTAGAACGCGAGTAACTCTACAGCAGGGATGTAACGGAGGTAGTTTTATCGGAATCGAAGCCGGAGTCGAAGTATTTGAATTTTCTTAATCGGAGTCGGAAACGGAGTCCGGAGTCCGAAATACGGAGTTTAAGGACAAATAAAACATTATTTAAATTTAAATTTTCAATTGTAAAATAAAACAATACAATAAAAAAATGCCATATTTCCAAATAAACAAGAAATTAAAATAATTGAATTTAAGCCCAAACTCAAGAAAGTAGCATATTACACTATATTAAATGAACAAGTTTTAGAACAAATTAAATCAAATGAATTGACTCCAAAAGTAGTGTAGTATACATTACGGACAAAAGCTTTAGAGCTTTGTCTCCGTCCAATCTATTTCTTAACGAGTCGTAGATTAGGCCAGCGCCACTAAAAAGTTGTTGGCTGACTTCCGAGCCTGGTAAACACGCCTAATATTACACTTAAAAAATGTACGTAGTGGAAGGGGGATTTCCCCGCGCGGCATGTATTTAGAACCTTTTCATAACATTAGACTTGCTATGCTTGGACCTCCGATTAAAACCTTAGATTCAAAAGAGTCGGAGCCGAAGTTGTAAAAATAATCGGAAGTATCGTTTTAACGGAACCGGAGGCGAAGCTTCGTAACAGCCCTGCTCTACAGTACAGTAGGACAATGCGTATGTTCGTAAATAAAACAATATTAGCGGTTTAAAATGCGAAAAGTATTTTTTAAATTATTTTTACTATGACTTGAAGCCCTTACCTGGTCACGAGGAGTATTGTTAATACCCGAGACGTATCGCGAATGTTTTAAGCAACATTTTTTGTGCGTTAAAAATATTTAATTTGATATAGAACTTGTATTTTTCATGGCAGCACATCCACGCGAAGAGAACTTATAAAACGAAGTGTCTCACCAGCGCTTTGTCCTCCAACAATGCCGGCAAAACTGCAGTCATGCAACAGACTCCCGTGTCCTGTTTATTGGCAGGAAATGGCTTGGACACAGGTAAATAAGTGAAATAACAGAGAAATAATTTTGTTAAGCTTATTAGCATATCATCGGCAATTGTTGGTATTAGCCTTCTTAACTGAATTAATTCTTCTCTCTGAGCGAGGATACATAAAAAAAATCGAAAATATTACATTACTGCAGCGGCTAGCAAGAGAAACATTGATGGACGATTGTACGAATACACACATGCCTAGTTCCGCCCAAGATTGGAAACGTATTTTTCTTCAATAATGCGCGGAAATAAAAACTAAGTAATTCACAACTTTAAATCCAATGACGAAGTTGACGTACTAATAACAGTTAATACAAGCAAGTCTCTTAGGTCGCCAGGGACCATTTTTTTAATTACACGACAAGTATTTTTTTAAACTAAAATATATCGTTATACTGTGCTCAGCCACGGAGTTCGAGTTATTTAGGGTTTGAATTTGGTTTAATGCTTTGAATTTTGTTTCAGTGTTCTACAACATGTGGTCGAGGTGTCTCTTATAGGCCTCTAGTCTGTCCTGCATCAGACGAGATTTTCTGCGGACCAAAGCCACGCGAGCGCAGGCGACGCTGCCGGCTTCGGAGATGTCCCGTTCGCCCCACATGTCCCGAGAACGACGCCACACAATATTGTGAACTATTTAGCAAGGAACAGCTAGAACGTAACTGTGTAGTTCCCCCATTTAGAAAATATTGTTGCAACGCGTGTAAAACTGTCGAGCATAGTAGAAATTAATTGGAATATCCCAAAGATACATAATTGGGATCCTCTCAATAAGAAATGAACCCGAACCAGAACTATATTCTTTTAGTAAAGTTTAACTGCGATCCGACGTTTCGTAGTTACGGGGAGACGTAGTGAGACGTTAATTAACCAATACAGTTCACCACATACATATAACTTAAATGAAGAATAATTTATCAAATTCAGTTTTCTAGAATGTTTTTAAAATACTCAAATTTCTGGTTTTAGATTTAGTAGGTTCAAAATTTCGGTATTGTTTTTAATATTTCAATCAGCGCCATACCTCGAAATGAATCTCTCTACAATTACCAGTATTTCCTTAACTGTTGTATACGTACCTAAATAAGTTATTTAAGTAGAAGTAAGACTAGTTAAAAATATAATGTTTGATACCGATGTGCCATAACTACGGATCAAGAGCGAGTGATTAATGTAGAATTATCATTAGTCATCATCATAAGTAATCATAGGAACTTTACATTCAGCAATAAAACTTATAACAAAAGTGTTGTTTAATTTTAACCATCTAGACTAAAATTGAGCCAGTAGCTTAAAAATGGTGCCATTTCAAACCAAATAAGAGTAGTTTGATAGTAGTAAATTGACGGATGCGTTGGTCTAATGGTAACAATGTATTGCTAATAATTAATGGGTCGCGGGTTCGATCCCCACCGAGTCCAGGATGTTTCTAATTTTTCAATTTATAATTTTTCTAAAAAATGTTGGACTTTTGGCAATCTGGATATTGAATGCGTGGTAGGAATATCGAAATTCCGTCCGGGTCATAAACCACCGTCCACAGACGAAAAAAGCCGTGAAGCTTAATCGCGTTTCGGTTTGCGAAAAAGGCAAAATAGGCCGACAGCGCATTTTGTTTAGATGTTACAGGTTGGGGTATGTCATTTGTTGGTAAGTGCTTGTCTGTCCTCTTTTATTATTAAAAATAATAATTATTGTTTATTATTAACTAAGCAATGATGTTCGTTCCAATAATTCAACACGTTATTATCAATAACACAAACAAACGTTACAGCTAACAAACAGATTGAAAGAAACCCACCCATAGATTATCGAGATAACTTTAGTACAACAAAAGAGAAAAATGATTGTGCACTGAATCGATATGGAATACAGCAAAATATATATTTTTAATCTCTCCGTTGTATTTCATTCGACAGCTTTCCTCTATTTCAATTCAATAAAATAATTTACAGCACACAATGAACTGAAACAATGTACAATCTAGATAGATATTCATTGATTTTACGGCGTAAGCCATAACAGTTATCACGAAAGTTTGTAGCTGCGATCTATGCTTTATTTTTTGTTGTTTAAAGTTCATAATGAAATGGCAAAGTGTTTGACAAATCACATAGACTATGCCGTCAGTTGCAAAGAGCTACCGTAAAGAAAATATACGCCGCTGTTCAAAGGAAAGCGCTCAAAGGGAACATGCCAATACTTTTTTATCTGTTTGACTTGTTCAGCACTTTCCTTTTTGACTTTGTGATACTTTTCCTGAAATTAGCTTTATCCTGTGTCTGTTTATAAAATAATACCTCGATTGTATCTTAAACAGTGACCGCGTGTTAAGATATTATGTGACCGGAGCATTTAACCCTTCCTATCAAAAAAACCCGACGCTTGTCTGTCAAAAAAGGCAACCGTTCCGTATATAATCCAATAATCAAAATTATGTTTTTGATAGGAACTAGGTAACATCATGTATAAGTTCGCCGACGATTTCAAAACTTCAGGAATAACTCCAACCGCAGCGATTCCATTTTACTCCATACTGACCTGGATACAATAAATAAGTGTCGCTATTATAATACATATAATGAAACTAAATATTTAAAAAAGTTATGTCGTAAGGTATCTTAAAAACAATATAATGCAATATTCATTGTATTGTCTGAGATATTCGACAATTAATTAATAAGTAAATAAAATAAATAATGAAAAACTAAAAAACAAATTATGCCATTTATTAAACAGTAATTATTATGTTGCTGTCAATGGATTCTGTTTTGTTAAAAAAATTATTTTGGGCCCCCCCCCCCCCGGTTATATAGGATATTTACGATACGATTCAGGCGTTCAGGACTATTTAATTGATTATTATTATAAATTTCTACCTCAAATATATCAGGTATTGGGTTGTTGTAGACTGCAGAACGGTTATAGAATCGAGTCCTACCTCATTCATCGAGACTTTATAACAGAGAAGAGTAGAACAATAAAAGAATTCAGCCTATTTATTAACACGTAGACTATAATACACAAATTCAAACCTTCATCAAAGTCAATAGTAATCTTCGCAATTGTTCAAAGATATGTATAATTAACAGCAAAGCTGCGGATTAGTGTGACTTTGGGTATACAATTATCTTTTACTAGCTTTGTCAGCGACTTCGTCCGCGTAGAATAGTTGTTTTGGGCATCCAAATTTGTTTTTGCAAACCTTTACAAATTATTTCAATCAAAATCTTTTAAATTCAAGTTGCCCACGACATCGATCGCTTCCCGTCGTTCTTGCAAGTTAATCTTAAAAGATAGACATATAGTGTTGTGAACATTTTTTCAGATTATTTAAAGAGGAATCATTTTTCTGTACATATTTTTTGGGTTGAAGTTTTCGCAGCGTACGCATCAGAAACCCACAGAGATGAAAAATGTCCCCAATTTTTTCCACATTAGTCGCTTTTTTCGCCTTTCTCGATCAATGTATTTACAAACTTGTCGAACTAATACTCGTAGCTTCTGAGATTAGTGCGGTCAAACAAACAAATTCTTTTTATATATATATACTTATATTATATATAAGAACTAAATAAGATAGTCGGTATCATTGTCAACATAGTTTGTACCGCGCCGCTGTATTTACAGAAGCTTATAGAAAAATGCCTTATCGTTATCTCGACAAAACTGGTGTCGGTTTCGTTTAAATATTCAAATAACCCAAGCGCGTTGATGAAGCAATTAAGATTAGCATAAACAAACACTGTTTTCGGAGTTTCGGTTTATCTGCGATATAGAATTGAACTTAGGATTCCCATATTAGACTATGTTATTAAATATAAATGTATTCTTAAGTATAGCAGTCTCGTAAGGGCGCCGAATCAAAGTACTGTATGTTATAATAATATTATTATAATGAATTTACCAGACATACTATGAATTGAAGACCCTAGTTTACATACAGTAATTAAAACAAGTTCACGATATTAAAGTTTTAGATTAAAATATGGGATTTTTAATGACAGAGGAGGACAGGCATACATGGCATCGAAACAGGTTGTGTTGTCGACCTATTTCGGCTTGGGAAATTTGGAAATCTACAGACTGAAACCGAAACGTGATTAAACTTCACGGCTATTTCATCTGCGGACGGTGGTATCTCACCCAGGCGGAATTTCAATATTCCTATCATCAGATTTTCAGACGAAGTCCAACGTGTTACAAAGTTATGAATCGATTGGAAAATGTTAGACCCGGTGGGAATCGAACCCACGACTTATTGATTATTAGCCAGACATTGCTACCTTTATACTGATAAGCCCATCAAAATATTACGATATTTGTTGTCAACAAATGTTTGCAACACTACCAAATTACATTTGTTACCGTGTTGTTGTAATTGCCTTTAGCACATTTTGCTAAAGCAATTTGGGACCACCTAATATACTTAGTAGAACAAGCAAACAAATATTGGTTGAGCAGTAGTGTAATATGACCCTCCTGAGTTCTGGGTTACACGAGAGAGTAATCAGTCATGTACCCGAATGATAATATAAATAGCAGCCGACACATTTTGTAGGTTGACATTAAGACGAAGCGTGAAAAACCATCGGAAAATACGTACGAGTATTCTCGCCGAGATTTTACTCTTGAATATATACAATGTACGTTTGACACTTTCGTTTGTTATTTCTCATATAGGGCCTGATGATTGAAAAAGTATTTTAGACAAGCCGATAATAAGATTTACTCTACTAACTGAGATCTATTTTCAATGATAAAAAAGGCATTAAAGAAGAAACTCGTTGATCACAGACGTAAACAGTCGTTTAACTTTAAAAGCGATTTCACGTCTTTTAAATAACACGTTTAACGGTTCAAAACGCGAAATGCATTGTACATAGTAAGCTTATTTACAAATTGTTCTAACTACGGCCCGTCGGATTCTGCAGCCTGTAGTCTTGAGACCTTGTTTAACTAACTTGTCAACATTTCGCACTTAAAACCGTTTAAAGTTGTTTTATTGGAATTTGTACTACTAGCGACTTAATTTTCTTTTTATTAGGTCTAGAAAACTAACAATGCGTGTAAAATACTCCAAGTGTGTGTTTTAAATAGATGCACATGGCAACACATAGCGACTCTACTTAAAAACAAATATTTTTACTAATAAATTGATTCTAAGTTATTATACAAGTCTCGCGTGTATTTTAAAAGATTTGTTGTTAACCTGCCAAGCCTATTGGAAAGCCCAAAGTTGGGATATACGTCCTTGTAGCCTCACGGGTATATGTCTCAATAGCTACCTGACAGATTTGGTTAGTACTTTGCAGTTGTCTGAGATGTTTTTCTATGAATTATTATGTATAACATTTTAACGAGGCAGAGGTACGTATTAAAAAAATAACATTAGTCATAATTTTAGTTAGGACGTAAAAAACGTGATCAGAAACGATTTCAATATTTACCTACCTTTCTTTATATAGGTAGTTAGGTACTTAGTTATTTATTATTAGTATTATATGTTTGGCACGATTATCTTGTCTATATGATCAAAACAATTATCTTTATTATGTTTTAATGTAGAAGTAAAATCTATTTCAATTGTCTTACAATTAGTAAAGCAATTACTTAACACCATATCTATATAATAGGCTAAAAAGCTTCAGTTCAATGTAATCTCACCACGTCTGCTCCACATGATACCGTATTAATATTCCCCGACCATTTTATTTGATTAAATCCAATAC